TTACATGTGTGTGTATGTGTCAAATCGAAAAATGCAACTTTTGACATTTCGATGACCTTACTTAAGTTAACAGCAACAACAGCGGCAGCAACAACAACAACAGCAATTTGCTGTCCCTGCTAAAAATGTGTAACCTAAATTCTCAATACTGGGTTCATGTTCATGTTACTGTGAAGAATTCGTTTTTTCCCTTCTTCTTTTTGTTTGCGAACCATTAACTTGTATTCCATTGCCACTTCGTTCCATTTCAATGTTGAGCAACTTTCTCGTTTCAGCTGCTGTCGAGCACGCAGCCTGTCATTTCATTCAAACATGGCCGCGTGGGTGTGGCCTTGTCACCAATACACACATGCACACACTCACACAGCTGACATGTAGGCGGAGCTGCCTCTGCTAATTGTTGGCCTGTCAAAATGAATCGCTTTCCAGAAGTAGGACATGCCAGCTGACTTCCAGTGTGGTTGGCAAATCATCTGCGCTTTCCAGTTAGTTCATCAGCTGTTTGCAAGAGGGGTAATGTGGTGAAAGCTCGCACTCTGCCAGTCTGCCTCTCCCTCTCTCTCTCTCTTTCTCTTTCTCTACTAAGGGGATTCACAATGCCATTGTTGCCATTATTGTTGCTGCAAGTGTAATACCAATTTTCAATTAGACCCATATCTAATATGTATTAGCTGCGTTTAGATAAGTTTTATATGATTTGCGAATTATTGCCAAACTTCATTATTCATAGATTTAATTACGGCAAAAAAGGCTGGGACATGTATATTAATAAGGATTGACGTTAATTTGCCTTGGAATTGTAGAATACAAATAAATTGCGCATACGCAGCGTCCGCCCGACGTTTTGAATGATTAATGCTACTTAAAGAACAAAATAAATTATGAAAAGTTTTAGTCAGATGTGCTCTACATTGATGTCAATGACGTCAGCAACGGACTTGAACTGACTTAAAGTTGGGCCATTCGTTGCCTGGCTGGGAAGTTGGCACAGTAATTGCCCATGTGTGTGGGAGTGTGTGGCTGTTACGCTGTGAACTTTGACCTATGGCCAACTTCATATCAATTGGCAGCGTTGGTAGATCGCCTGCGGACCCCGGCTTGAGAGCTTTTGCATTTACTTGTCACTCTGATGAAAGGTCATTTGTTTGGCTACCTTTGTCTCCTACCTGTCTACCTGCCTACTTGCTGTGCCACCTGTCTTCATTTAGATTTATCATTTTTTGCGACATGTCAATTTGTCATTTTGGCTGACTGACAACCCGCACACACACACACACACACACATGCACAGTTATCTCTTTGTAGATCTGTATACAGGACCCCACGAGCTATATAATCAGCAAAGCTATCAGTCAATGGCACTCGCGCTCATTTCTCTTTGTTGATTGATTTAAAAAGTTGTCGCTTGATTTGCATAATCAATTCATATAGAAATTGAAAGTTCGTAAACAAAGTTTAAAGTTCAAAGCCTTATTTTTTCGATACTAATTTGAACAAAATTTTCCAACAACATCATTTCGAGGAGAAACCTGCTAAAAAGGTGTTCATTACATATATCGATGCAGTTTTGCCAGCTGCAAATTGCCTCAGTTTGAGCCAAGTTAGTTGTGATTGAAGCGATGAGTCAGCTGAGCTTGAAGACTTCAAGACTTTAGGAACTTGCCAAATTGAAGCCTTGGCCTTGATCAACTCTGAATCAGCCAACAATTGCGTGGCGCTGGCTCACAGTCGTAATTTGAATACAGTTTAGTTTGTTGTGCAAACGTGCTGCGAGTTTCTTAAGGAGCGCAGCACGAAGCGACAGTCAACCAAATAAATACATCATTTAAGCGTCTTTAAGTGTTGCAGCTGCTCTGGGAACTGCCAACGAGTTGTACGAATGCCAATTCCAGCTGACAGCTCAACTGCAAAGGGCCAAACTATTTATGATGATACCAATCATGAGTTGTGGCAGTTGCTTCAATTGCCCATGACTCAAGCCCACTCTATGAGTCGATAAATATGTAAATTATATGTATATATCTAAGCATACTATACGAATGCTTATGTGCATGTTTCTCTCTTATATACCTTTATCCGTCCTAATTTCTAACACTTTCTTTCTTATCTGTATTGAAAGAGACAGAGAGAGCCTTTTTCATTACTCTCATTCTATTTCTATTTCGGTTTTCTCTTTCATATCTCTCTTATATCTATTATATCTATGTGTTGCTCTATCATTTTTCGCTTTCTTATATCTCTCTATTCATCTCTTTGCACTCGTATATCTTTCTCTATCTGTAGGGATTCCCTCACTCAATGTCTCTGCTTCTCTTTCTCTCTTTATGTCTCTTCTTTTCTATAACTCTCTCATATCTGTATTATCTTTATTTTTCTGTCTCTTATGTTTCTTATTCTCTGTCCCTACTCGCTTCTCATGTCTCTGTCTCTGTCGCTATACATAACTGTATATGTTTCTCTCTCTCTTTTTCTCACTACTTCTGTTTCCCTCTCTATCTATCATTGCGTATTGCTCTCAATTTATTTCAGCTTCTTTTTCTCTATCACTCTATCCAACTCTCTATGCCTCGCTCTCTTTCCCGGACTCGTTGTCTGTCTCTCTCTATCACTTACTCTCTCCGCCGTGACCCCTCTCTCTCTCTTTATCTATTTCCCTGTTTAAGCCTTTCTTCTGCATCTTTTTCACTTTCATTCTTCCTCTCTCCCTTGCTGTATCTCTCTTTATACCTCTCTCTCTCTTTCTAGCTCTCGCACTGTGGCTCTCACTCTCCTTTCTGCCTCTCTCTTCTATGACTCTCTCTATCTCTCTGTCTTCATTTGCCTATCTCTGTTACTGCTGCCGCCTTTGGCTTTGATGGGCCTTGTCAAGGCCATTGAAACTTTCTTCGAGCCAAAGACCATAATTGGGACATGATAGAGACAACAACAACAACAGCAGCAGAAGCCGCAGTCATTTCGCTGCGCTTGCATAAAGCAGTTGAGCAAAAGCTAAAGTAATATTCATTATATATTGCCATTGAGGATGATGAACAACACTTCCCAAAAAAAGCACTTGAAAGCTGTGGGCCACTGCGAGCCACTCGAGTGAACCACCTTAGCCAAGTCAGCCGAACTGAGCCGGCAACAGCGACAAGTTGTTTGCATTTGATTTCTAACAAAGATTCATTGAAGTACTTTTCACTTTTAATGTTGTCTGTTGGCTGTTGTCTGGCGTCGCCTCGCTGGGGCCTTCGCATTGCTCTATGACTTTTACTTGAACAAATAAATAATGAAGCATATTTTTGGTTTTCTTATTTGGTGTTTGTAAGCTCCAACGAAATTGGAGCAGCGTCAACTCGTAGCGCTCGTTCAATGAATATGTCTGTGCCATCCAACTTGATTGATTGTAGTAGCTGCTGCTGCTGCCTCAGTTGCTGCTGCTGCTGCTGCTGTCTCTACCTGTCTCGACGGCATCGGCTTCGGCTTTGATTGCCAATCGAAGGTGTTAGATAACATTACAAGCGCAACAAAAGACACGCACTGCCTAATTATCGTTTATCAGCTACAGCATATCATATATATATTTATATATATATATATATTAAGTAACAAAGTGTTCGACATGGACATAACTGCGCCTTGTCAGCAGCTCAACACGCATCATTTATTTAACAACATTAAATATTTTGAATATATTTCATTGCATTTGGTTTATTTCCTCTCATTTCTCAAGCTCAAAGTTAGTTCACATGCGCTTCGCGTCACTCATAGAAGTTGCCTTGTGAACGTTATGAAATTTGAGTTTGTTTTATGGTCTTACAACTATTAACAACTAAGGCACAGGTGCTCGAGTGGGGCGTGCACGACTAGAAGATACTCCAACTGCTATGATGAGCTGCTCAACTAATGAAAATGACAAAGGTTTTTTGTTTTTAAGTCAAAGTAGCAAATTCTAATCTGTATAGAGATGTGCTTTAGTAGGGTGTGCACGACACGAAGATACCCTGCCATACATTTTTAACTTCTTCAGCTTTCAGTTTATGAATACGACAAAGGAATTTTAATGTGAGGTAAAGCAAATGCTTAAATCTGTGCAAAGATTTTGGCTGTGGGCGATGTGGTGACTGTGGTGACTGTGGAGACAATGGAAGCTGCATGGTATATGAGATACTTATAAGGCTTATTTGTTTGCATTTCGAAACTTAAATTTTCTGTATTGAAAGTAATATTCTGCAGAAGCTGATTCTGTATTAAATTCTACAGCCATGACCCATGAGTGAATCAGACTGACATAAATTCTTTATATAAATACCTGCAAAGTAGCTTGTTAGCGTAGCTTACTGTTTGTCAACTGCTAACAGGGTATACAAATTAAAAACATAATAGACCAAGACCCGAAGCAAGGGCAAGTCAAGAACACAGACTCAACTCAAAGTGAGTTTGTTCTGTGACTGGAAAGAGATCTAAGAGCAATTCATATCATTCATTGAATTCGTAAGTTTTTAGCAAAGTGGGAATAGTTCGAGTTGGAATAGCTTGGGCCGAAACACTTCATGACTTTGATTATAGATATTTAGTTAGACAGCTGAGAGATATGAGTGAACTTTTTCGATGCTCCGCGACAGCAAAGTTTTGCCCAACTTTGGCCACATTCGCTGGGCTGCTGGACAGGTGTCATGTCGGGGCCTAGCAACGCATGCCAAAAAGTTTGCTCATGTAATTAATTAATTTATTTTGACACAGAATCGATAGCTCCAGCTGCATCAAATCCAATCAAGACTTTGCCACAAAAACTAATTGACAAACAAAGCAAATGAGAACGAATGAGCCAAGGAACCCAATATCCGGGCTATGGCTTAAATAATTAGATAGAAGACTCTCAAGACTTTCAATACTCATACAAACAGAGAGACAGGAGGAACCAATATACTCGCCTTACACTCTATGAGAGAGCATACCCAAGCGAAAGCCATATCAAATATCAGATTGAAAAGAAGTTTTTGATTTGATTTTTTTTGCGCTGCTCTCGATTTACGACAAAGTTGGATCGCAAACGTTTATTTATTTGGTGTATGGCTCGATCCACTTCCACTGCTCCCAGACGACGCAGTCCTGCTCTGGCTCCATGAAGGCGTAGTTATCGGGGCACTGAATGTAGTCGGCCTTCTCCTGACCCTCCCGGCAGACCCAGTAGTGAGTGGGATCGGAGATGTCGCGGAACTTGCGAGCGTGATCCTGAACAATGTCGCAGTTGGGCTCCGCATAGATGTCTTGACCGTTGTAGGCAGTTGCCAGCGTGACGAAGATGCCCAGCAGCAGGAAGCTCAGAATCGTAGCTGAAACGAAGATGAAACCGAATCCCTTAGACCCTTGACAAGAGCAAGAAAAGAAATCATCAAAGTCTAACCTGAATGCATTTTGTTGCGTGTCTCAAATGGAAATGTTGCATTTGGTGGCATTCTGGAAGCATATTTATAGTGTTCCCGTACAGTCCCATGCTCGACTGCTGTGCTCACCTGCTGGGTGGGGCTCCTTATCGGGGACAGTTGTCTCAATGCGAAGCAAGCAAAAGCACTTTCTGCAAATTACCTTAGATTTTCGAGCTATTTTTAGAGCCTATCTTGTGTGATATGGGCACATCAGATGTTGCTTGTGCAATGTCTGATGCTGCTCCTCAGCCTCCTCCTCCTTCTCCTTCTCTCGCTTGACTAGCCAGCGTGTAATGGCATTTTCGTTAAGCGTAGCCACTTACTTGATAATGAGCAACTGCCACTGCCACTGCCAGAGCCCTAGCACCTGCCGCACAGCTCTGCCTGCCTCAGCTATAGTCTGCAATCGTCTTCGTCATCGTCTTTAACGAAATGCTGAAAATTTAAGCCAGCTACAGTCTTAATTGACTATACACAACTCTCATTAAATGAAGCCCGGCGGGACGGCCGACTCATTATCTAGCTCTGTCTGCCTCACTCTTAAGCTGACTCTCTATCTCTCTCTTTCTGCTGTTCAAGTTTGGCTTTTGGCTTCTGCCTCCTTCTCTTGGCCCTTTTGTTGTACGCAACTCTAATTTGGTGAGTCTGTGGGGTTGGTGAAGAGACTCCAATCATTCTCTTTCTTTCTCTGTCTGGGTTTACCTGATCGTTCCCTGCCCTGCCCTTGGCTTAACCCTTTTCAGCATAGGGGCAAGAAGAGGCGCTCCCAAAATTTTCTTTCTCTCTCTGTCTGGGCTTACCTTATCGCTCCCTGCTCTGCCCTTCTCTCCCTCTCTTTCCCACACTATCCATCCATCGGCACCTGCTATGGCGACAGCTGCCTCGCTCCCTGCCAGCCGCTCAGTTCAATGCGGAAACTGTAATTGCTTTTTAAGCATTTTGTAATAGATTTTGGTCTTTTTGCTTTTTTGTTGACTCTTTTTGTTTTATTCATCAATGTGTTAACGGTTTTTGGCTCTGATTATTTCGTGATATTTTTGCGCCAGCCACACTCAGGCATTTATGTTGGTCAAGTGTTCGGCACGAAACGCTTTAGGGGGTCAGCCGCAGCCGCAGCACACAAAAACCACACACAAAGCGCTAAACAGTTAACAAAAGATGTAACACGAATATCAGCAAATATATGCTTAAATAAATGTGTGTTAAATATGTAATTTGCGAAAAATAAATAGATACGAATTGAGAGGAAACATTTCCTCCTCTGTTTTGCAATTTAAATGAAGCCACATTTCAGCACGATCATAATTATATTGTCCAACAGTTTGATTGGGTTATGCTGGCCCAGGCCTTTGTGCAACCCGAGACTATGCTAATGGCCTTGCTGCCCATTCAATGCCCATTAAACAAAGCAGCTCGCCAATCAATATTCAAAAGCTGCTTTTTCTTTCTTTTTTGCTATTTAAGGCAAATAGATTTTTGATAGCGCAGCGCTGGGGCAGAAAAGGGAAGATACTGAAAAGATACAACAAATTTATAACTAAACTCTTAACTTAATAGTCTATATATATTATTCGACGAGAAACACAAAGAAAATGATGGTAAACAGCGCCTAAATTTGTTGTTAAAATGTCAACAGTTAGAAATTGAAACAGCAGCCGAAGAGGCAAGCGAAGCTGCAGCAGTAGAAGGAGCAGCAGCAGCAACAGGCAAGCTGAAGCTTCTACTCATTCTCTTCTTCCTTCTGCTGCCCCATCCTCTATTCCTTATCCTGTCCCTTACCCCTTACCCTACTGCTCCTGCTGCTTCTTTGCCTAGTATTACCTACTTGATCAGCAGCCTCTAAGCAACTCGAACTTAATGCCCTTGAGAGCTATATACTAGAAGTCTTTAGACACTCTTTGGCATGCTTCAACCTGATCTAAGCTAGATCTAAGCCTACTATAGAAGTAAAAGTATATCAAACAGCAAGTGATCGATTATTATTGTAATAATGATTAATAGTAAAACATTTAAATATATTGAGATAAAATCAAGTTTTACGAGATTTAATCGAGGTCTGCCGAGTGAAGCTGTCTTAGCTGTTGTCTTCATAGATATTTAATAAGATAAATTTATTATGTTGTTGAATTTAAAAAATTAAATTTAATTATAAACATTTCACCTGAAGTTTATATATATAAATTTAGAAATCACAAATTGGTTGAATAACTCATAATTAAATTTAGTTTATCTTAGTAAATTGTTATAGCTTTTTTTACCTAACTAACTATTAAAAATAAAATTTAAAAAATATTTTAACTGTGTGAATTGAACATAAATGAGAGATGTGACTCTGTAATAATTGCCAAAAAAAAAATAATAAAGTAAAACATAATATATATATATATATATATATATATATATATATGTATACACTACACATATTTTTACATACATCTTTATAGTCCATTAAAAGTATGAATTGAACCTGAAGTTTGTTTCAGTTTCCTCTGATTAAATAGCTATCAATATTATTTCAATTAATTAAGTTTGGACTTTCTTTCGGCAGACAAACAGAAAACCTTGAAAGCGCAATCAAAATAATTTGACAAAAAAAACAATAATCAAATTCGTCACTTTTCCTATACTTTCTTCTAGTTTTCTGTTTTCTTGTTTTTTTTTTTTTTGCTTTCTCAATCAGAAATCAAATCAATTAGATGAGTAACTAACATTAGATATAGCCACGCCTTTCTCTCTCTCTCTATTTCTGTGACGTTCTTCCTGCTGTTTGTGTTATCTGTTATCATGTTTAGATAGAAATCAACGGATGCGCTTGTTGCCAATTCTATTAGCATTTAGTTTGTCTTTTACGCTCTGGCAGGCGCTGGGACTCCATATAAAGGTCGATCTGTCGCACGTTTCAATCACAGAACTCTTAGAAACTCTCTCAACCAACCATGAAAGCCGGTGGGTATATAGTCTCTTTTATAAATGAATGTATATTCAAACATATTATTGACTCCCTTGTCAATTGCTTCTGGTTTCTGTAGTCTTTGTCCTTTGCGCCGCTTTGGCCGCCTTTGTTGTTGTTGTGAATGCTGATGCTGGTCGCTCGGCCTGCAAGGATGAGTCGGAAATCGGCCAGACATACCCCCATCACTTCGATCCGGCCAAATACTGGCTGTGCGAGACTCTGGGCACCGCTGCCACCGAGATCGACTGCCCCAACGGATTAGCCTACATGCATCTGCTGAAGGAGTGCATTCCCTGGGCCAGCTACATCTGGAAGAAGCCCGAATACCCACCAACCGTTGCCTAATTTCTTAACAGCTCAAAAATAAACAATTGACAAATGCATTAACCAAACGATCCCATCTGACTCGGGCCACCAGGCGTATGCGCAATTCGCGATTCGCATTAAGCATACGCACAGTGGGCGCCCTTTTCAGCGATTTGCCGATTTGTGTCTTGATGCCGCCACTGAACTTGCCCCACACACGCACACACGCACGCACACACACCCACTCACACACTCACACACTTACACACGCGTCAAACGGCTGGGCGACGGTGTCAAGTTTGCCCCACAGAAAGCTCTATCAATGCAAAAATCTTCAAAGCAGAAAAACCCCTTTACTTGTTGATGTTAAAAATACCCTGTGTTTGAGAGTGCTTTCAGTGGGGTATACTGCATTTGTGAGAGCATATGCCACATCAAGGTAGATGCAGACGTCTAATGACCACTTGATTGCTGTTCGTCCGAGGATACCCTGTATATTGGAAAACTGATTATGGTGGAGTATATTACATTTGTAGGGACAGGCCAGCAGGAAGTCTGGCAGATATTAAGTAAATTTTTAAGTCTTGAGCGACACAGTTGATTTGCCTCGAATGCAACACCAGAAACCACTCTAACTTGTCTACAGGGTATTTCACAGTCTATATATTCTACAATATATGGCAAAGAAATGGAGTGAAATAAGCGCTACAACTCAGTATATTTTTTCTGTTACTCTACAAATTAGTACTCATGTCAAAATGGATGTACAGGGTATCGCCTAGTCTGGCAGCGTACTCCAGATACATTTGTTCGTTATTGAGCGAAGCAAGAACCTTAAACATGAGCTTAAATGTGTAGGGAGGAAAGTTAGACAGCTCATACCTGTTTACAGGGTATTGCATAGCCTGTCAAAGTCAAATTTTCATGATGCCACAAATGATGAAGTCTGGACGTGTTCTTAATTGTCAGCATGAATGGAAATAGGCAACTCAGTTCACAGCTGCTTACAGGGTATGGCAAAGTCAGTCAGTCAATAAGAGAGCCAACTAGCTTGCTGGTTGCTTGTTGCCCGCTGCTGCTGCTGCTGGTGCTGGTGCTGCTGTTGTTGTGGTATGTTCGAGTGTAGATGCTGGCTGTGTGGAGTGATTCGCATTTTGAAGAGTGCATTTGTGGAGTTACATAAAATACGAAATTGAAAACATGTTGCCCGCTCATTGTGTTTGGATTGAAGCTTTGCTTTTCGGCTGCGGCTGCGGCGGCGGCGGCGACTTTGGCAGCGCGAAGCAACGCGACGCGACGCGACGCGCTGTGATGCGACGCCGTCTTTTGTCTTTGGCCCATTGCTTTATGATATTCGTTCAGCTTTGCCGGCCAAAGTATAAAAGTGCATGCGACGCAGCAGACCGCAGAGTAGTTTGCAATCGACAATCGGGCGAGCAGCACACCATCTTCAACAACAACAGCAGCAGCAACAAACAACTCAACCTTGTTGCCTTCTGAAACGGTTAGTGGAGCCAAAGGATAGTCGTGGCCCAAAGTGTTTTACCAATCCAAAGTGAACCAAGTGTCAAGCTGAGCTTAACAAGCGAACACTCAATTCGGCAGGTCGCAGCTGATCAGCCTGGACAGATCCCATTGAAAGTGGATAAAGACAGGGTATATTGGTTTCGCGCAAGTGTTTCTAACAGGCAAAAGAAAGCATCGCTAAGGCCCTCTCAACTGAGCCAATCTATCCAATGCGCTACATTCATTCATCCGTCGCTCCGCCTTCCGTTCGTCCTTATGATCACAGCTCATCATACACAGCAGACATGCCTTAGACATCATTGAGAATGTATAAGCAGGGTATATTAGCTTTGTGCAAGTGAATATAAAAGTCAGCTGAATCAAGCTACAATTTCCAGACTTGCTCTTCCGCTTCCAGTTGCTGCTCTGCGATAAGCACGCAGACAATGAAGATCTACAAATTCGGATTCGTCAACCTGTTCCTTTAAAAGTGTAAACAAAAAACTTGTTTCAAATAGTAAAGCTTTACGCTTAAGCACTACACACGTTTGGCAGTCCATACGATCGATCGTCTAGAGATAGATCAGTCTATAGCTTCTGCTCCTCTCTCTCTACAGAATCAGCGCTCAGGGTATCTGCTAGTCAAGCACTCCCTCTCTACGAGAGCACTTTTTATCTTGCTAGGCTTTTAGGAAACATCTCCCAAGCGATCTTTGCTTGGCTCGTAAAGTCTTAATGTAGAATAGCCTCAACTTTAGTGGCGCGGCCACTGAGGCTTTGGCCTCCGCACTTGCAGTGCGTGTTAAACGCATTGCCATGAGAATTATATAATGCGACAAAGCTCAATTAGAAATGTTGACACACGTTGGACATAAATGTACAGAAATACTGTGTAATTGCGCCAGTGAGCGGGTCAGAGCAGTCAACACATAAGCTTGGGCTTCAGCGCAAACAAAAATAATTACAATTCGGCTTTGAGCACTTTTTGTTTCTGCAATAAAAGCGACGCGACAACAACAACAACAAATTGAAAGTGAAAAAATTGTGGCTAACAAGCGACAAAAAAGACAAAATAATTGACAACAGCTGAAAGGAAAAAAGAAAAGAAAATTGGGTGGGAGTTGCAATAAACCAAATGGCAAGTCATAAAACAACCCACGTCGTCTGCGCCTCTGCACAGCCTGGCTAAAACCCTTAGCCTGGCTTTTTATACAATTGCGAGCGTAAAAGCAAAGTTTCACTTCATATGGCAAAGCCTGGCTAAAATAAGCAAATGCCCTTAGCCCTCTGCATTTGATTCATAAAAGAAAAGTTTCACTTTATACTGTGTGTGTGTGTTTGGGTGTGTGTGTGTGAGTGTGTGTCATATTTTGATTCTTCAACAAAAAGCCAATTACGTATGTTAAAGCCGCACAGCTCGGGTTGGATTTGTGGCGATGCGGCTCAGTTGCTTGGCCACAGAGTTCTTGACTTCTTGGCCCGAGAGCTTAGCTTAGCCAACTTCCGTATCGGCTAGTTGGCCAGAGAGTTCTTGGCCAACTCAAACTTTTGGCCACCTTCATCTAGGCCAACTTCCATTTTGTTTCTAGATCTCTTAGTTCTTGACAAGCTTCTCGGTCGGCCGGCTTAGCTTCCCCTTGGGCAGCACCTTGCACCTTAAATCAGAGAGATCTTGAGCAGCTGCTTCTAAGTCAAGGAGTCCTTGATCGTTGGGCCAAATACCTGATCAGCAGCAGGACTGGATTCTTCCGAGAGAATCAGAAAACTCTTGCAGAGCAAGTCGAACTTCCGTCCAGTTTCCTCTCAGCCAACTACGTCTGACTTGTTCATGGCTAGTTGATTTTAGCAACTGCTCTTGTTGCTTTGTTCTTGGCATTGACAGCGTGTTGGCTGCGAAGATTAATGAGGCCTCTTGATTGACCCCTATCGCTCACTGTTCATTTCGCTCTGAAGTCATTTCTCGCATCATAAGCCCGAAGAAGAAAAAGAAGAGGAAAAACTTATGCAACATTAGCGTAATCGACTTTCCACGCAAACAGTTAACTTTCTTTTGGTCTGATTTCTGTTTTTATTTGTTGTCTTTTAGCCTGGTCAATTCGCTATTGAGACGCCCCAAGATGAGCTCCTCATACGCAGTGGTAAGCCATGCCCCGCCTCCTCCCCGAAACCCATTGCAAAACACATTGCCACAGAAAACTAATTTCCTCGTTTATTTCGCGCAAATTCACTTTTTTTTTGCGATTTGTGCAGCTTTTTGGAGTCGTCGCCGTGGCCGTTGCCTTCGTCGCTCTGGTGGCAGCTGAGCCACCGCTGAACAATGCGTATCTGCCTCCGTCCTCGTCGTCGGGTGGTAGACCCTCCTCCAAGTATGGCGCACCGCCGGCCAGCTCCTATTTGCCACCCGCTTCGGGTCCGGCACCTTCGTTCAATTCGCGTCCAGCTCCGTCCAGCAGCTACTCAGCTCCCCCAGGCGGCTCCTCTGGCGGACCATATCCGGCACCCGCCCACCGTCCATCCAGTTCGTATGGTGCACCAGCTCGACCAGCCCCACAGCCCTCTTCCAGCTACGGCGCACCGTCTCGACCAGCACCACCACCGTCCTCTAGCTATGGTGCACCACCAGCACGCACATATGGCCCACCACCACCGCGGAAGCAGCAATCACGTCGTCCCTCGTCGAGCTACGGTCCACCCAAGGCATCGCCTCCATCGCAAAGCTATGGCGCACCCGCACCACCAGCACCACCTGCCTCCAGGTACGGCCCACCCAAGTCGCCTTCCAGCAGCTATGGCGCACCATCTCGTCCATCCTCCAGCTATGGAGCACCCAGCGTGAGCAGCTTCCTGCCCTTGCCCTCTGCTCCCTCGACCAACTATGGCGCTCCATCCAAGACTCAGGTTCTGGGCAGCAGCGGCTACACCTCTGGACCAGCGGCACCTGCACCACCTTCGACATCATATGGCGCGCCTTCAAGCTCCAGCTCCTTCCATCCCATATCGCCACCTTCTTCCAGCTACGGTGCCCCGAGCAGCAGCAGCAGCTCCCACTCATCGTCCTCATCATTCAGCGCGCCTTCCTCATCGTATTCCGCGCCCAGCCCAAGTGCCAACAGTGGTGGTTCGTACCCCGCAGCGCCATCCAGATCATATGGTGCGCCTGCTCCGTCCAGCTCCTACTCAGCACCCAGCCCCAGCGCCAACATTGGCGGATCTTATCCGGCAGCTCCTTCCAACTCATACGGAGCACCCAGCTCAGGGCCTTCCAGCTCCTACTCGGCTCCTAGCCCAGGCTCAAACGCTGGTGGACCTTATCCGGCAGCTCCCTCCAGCTCCTATGGTGCACCTGCTGCTCCATCAAGCTCCTACTCGGCGCCAAGTCCCTCAGCAAACAGTGGTGGCTCCTACCCAGCAGCTCCCTCCAACTCATACTTGGCACCCAGCTCAGGATCCAGCAGCAGTGGCTCCTATGCCTCTGCACCATCCAGCTCCTACTCGGCTCCCAGTCCCGCAGCCAGCAGCGGAGGACCCTATCCTTCAGCCCCCTCAAGTTCATATGGAGCACCCAGCTCCGGGCCGTCGAGTTCTTACTCTGCACCCAGCCCTGGAGCTAACAGCGGTGGCTCCTACCCAGCTGCTCCCTCTAGCTCATATGGCGCACCCGCTTCAGCTCCTTCCAGCTCCTACTCTGCACCCAGTCCTAGTGCGAACAGTGGTGGACCCTACCCTTCAGCTCCGTCTTCTTCGTATGGTGCACCGAAACAGGCTCCTTCAAGCTCCTACTCAGCACCTAGTCCAGGATCGAACAGTGGTGGACCTTATCCCTCAGCGCCTTCCAGCTCATATGGAGCCCCCAGCAGCCGCCCGTCCAGCTCCTACTCTGCTCCTAGCCCAAGCGCAAACAGTGGAGGACCCTATCCATCAGCTCCTTCCAGCTCGTATGGAGCTCCCAGCTCCAGCCCATCCAGCTCCTACTCGGCACCGAGCCCAAGTGCCAACAGCGGAGGATCCTACCCATCAGCTCCGTCCAGCTCATATGGAGCGCCCAGCAGTGGCCCGTCTAGCTCCTACTCGGCTCCTAGTCTAAGTGCCAACAGCGGAGGACCCTATCCATCAGCTCCATCCAGCTCGTATGGTGCTCCCAGTTCCGGACCCTCAAGCTCTTACTCTGCACCCAGCCCAGGTGCCAACAGTGGTGGTTCCTATCCAGCGGCTCCCTCTAGCTCATATGGAGCGCCGGCTTCAGCTCCATCCAGCTCATATTCGGCCCCAAGTGCAGGCGGAGGTCCCTATCCTGCCGCGCCCTCTAGCTCCTATGGTGCACCATCGAGCTCCCAATCGGCGGGCAGCTTCAGTTCTCATGGCGGCTCATCGTTCTCCTCGTCATCTTCTTCTTCCAGCAGCAGCAGCAGCAGCAGCAGCAGCGGTAGCTACTCGACAGGTCCCTCGTCCTCCTATAACGCACCTACAGCACCCTCGAGCAGCTACGGCGCACCCAATGGCGACAGCATTCCCAGTGGACCCTCGCATGACTCAGGCTACTCCTACTCAGCGCCCAGCCAAGTCCCGGATACCATCCAGCAGGGCTACAGCTCCAATGGTGGCTATACCTACCGCAAGTAGAGCTAGAGTATTGGGTAACACCTCCGTCGTTCCAGTGCCTTAGAATACTCGTGCCCCCATCCCCCTCATCCAGAATTCGGCTATCATCAAAATTCATTTGCTGCTCTAGAAAATTAGAACCCAATTGTAAATTATTCGCATTTTGAAAAAAAAAAAAAAACAAAAAAAAACAAAAAAACTCGACCCCGTTGTACGAACCCAATTTTAGTTATAATATGCTTTAGACCTAATACGTAATGGTTGTCTAAATAAAGAAGAAGAGAAATATATTTCTAAAAGAAACTATCTGATTGTATTGGACTTACAAATGGAGTATGTTGCGGAAGGAAGTTAATCTGACACTAAAAAAAAAGATTTCCGATAAATATCGATCGATCGACCTTTAAGTCTATCTGCTTTGTCCATTGATTCTCAGCGTTGACAACTGTTGATTGATAACTGTCGATATGCGAAACCGATCAGTTCTATCGATAAGTATCGATGAGCTTATATTGAAGCTTATCGGGAACTAAAGAGATCAAAGCTAATGACTACCCATTTCCTATATCAGCTCTCGCTGTTTGTATTCTGTATAGAAAATGTAGCTTCTTGAGTGAGATCTCACAATTACTTCCGCTCGCTCGTGGACATGACATTCGTGAAATTCTTCCGCTCTGCTAATTGGCCAGCTAACGGCCAACTGCAATGACAGTTGAAGGCTCCCAAAGCCAAACAACTTTGGCGATTGCTATGCAAATTTCAAGAAAAATACCGGATATTTAGCTGCCAGCAACTGCAGCGCAGCAGCAGCAGCAGCAGCAGCAGCAGCCACAACATACGCGACAGCAACATCCACAACAGCAGCAACATCAATTAGAGGGCAATTCTTGTGCGAAGCCAGCTATGAACTTGTGATGAGCGGCCCACAGCAGCAACCGCTTTGTTGCGGCTTTGTATCTAATTAAGTTTACAAGTTAATTGCCCAAGTGCAACAGCATAATGAACTCAGCTGAAGCTAATGTTACACAGTAATGAAATATAATTTAGTCGGACGAAAGGCGATTCAAAATTAATCATCTTTTGTGTAATGTGATTGGGACTATTTGAAAACGTGACTGAGCTTTTAATTTATAAAACAAATAAATAAAATCTTGTACATGACTTGCTCTGAAGTCGAAACTGAATTCCTAAAGTATTTCATTTCAAAAGCCAAAAGCGCCAAATGGTATTTTTCATTTGTTAACCTTGACCTTGCGACCTTAGGGCGAATCAACAAAAATGCTTCCATCTACTGAGAGATAAAATTAATTTATTAAAAATATTGACGCAACGCGCTTCATTACTTTACACTCAACCTGTGCTGTAGTCGAACCCGACCTGACGCTTTCCCCATACCCCCCTTGGACTTATCTTGCATGTCATCTTTCGACTGCGCTGCGGCAACACTGGAAGTAGCCAGTGACTCCACTGAATTTCAGCTTACGGCTTAGCTTGCTGCAATTATTGATAAACAATTTAATTCTGAACAACTTGTGTTGCACTCGAACTTGTTTTTACTTCTATCTATACTGCAATCAACTTACCACTACGGCTCACCATCTTCAATAACTTACGCGGTCAATTGACTACAAAATCAGAATTATTGACCATTGATATCTAATTCAATTCAAATGATCTCTTAACTTTGTTTTTGTTTTTATTAAGTTGTATACATAAATTTATTCAGCTATCATATTAAATACAAAATATACATTGTTCACTGCGAAGTTAGTTCATTTTTAGAAAATTTGCACAAGCAAACTCTCTCTCTCTCTCTCTCTCTCTCGCTCTTCAACTCTCTATATGTGACCAAAAACTCACCCCCCTTTTTCCATTAGGCTAGGCTAACAGCTTGCTCGCACAGCACATCCACAACTACGTACACACACATACAGTTGAACACATGTTACTGTCTCTTCTTTTTAGGCTTCACTTCTCTCCTCTTCTCATTCTCGTTTACAAAGCCTTTGTCGCCAGCTGATCTATTCGAAAATAAATAAAAATTGAGTAAGGCACAAGCTACGTGCTGAAGTCAGGTCCACCTCCGCTCCATGCTGTTTACACTGCAGACACCTTGCCGCCGCGCCACGCCACTTTCCCCAGAGACTTCGGCTAATTATAGTTAATTATTTATAAGTTAATTACTTATAAGTTATAGTTAATTACTTATAAGTCATTTTTTAACTGAAATATTTCATAAGATTCTTATTTTCAATAACTTTTCAGTTGAAAAATAAAACGCTAAATAGTTTTTGTGTAATTTTTCTGCGCGAATTAGTGAACAAATCTACTTCTAAACAGCTGAGCAATAACTCACACAGACACATAGGCTTTAGCAACTAGTCTCCATTACCAGGCTATTGTCGCCAGCAGCAGCAGCTGATCTGCTTGATGTGATCTGTGATCTTCTGCTTCGAGCTCCAAGTGCTGTGTAATTTCGTTGGTTGTGGATCATTGTTAACAGCCAGCAACAGCCACAGCAGCAGCAACAGCAGCAGCTCCAATTGCCATTTGCTCTTTAACTTGAAGCCCCTCGCCCACCCCCGCACTTACATGAAGACTGCATTTTTGATGATGGGAAATTTCCGCTTACGATAATACGACTCCATTGTTTTAAATTGTCATTAGGCAGCTCTTTGTCTGTTTGTTGTTATTACACAAGCTGTACTTTATATGGGCTAAATAAATAAATAAATAAATACAGTTAGCTTTTTCTCTTTTTGGTTTTTTTTTTCGAAATAGAATAAATAATTACACGACATTTGCAGCAACAGGGAAACCATTTTAATATATATATAAACTATACTCATGTATATAAATACTCGTATATATTTGTTTATTTATTAAATAATTACTTTTTATTTATTATTCTCTCGCTTTGCTATGCTTTAAACATTGATATGTATTTTCGATTTTCGACTTTCATTATTCTTTTATATATAATATATATGTTTGTATATAATAAACTCATCTCAATATATATATATGTATAATTATTTAACATAGTTTATAATATGCCACTAATAAGTATATATGTAAGTATGTATACATCAATTGATTAGACAACAATAGGTGAACGTAAGTAAAGCCCCAAACTAATCAACTGTCTATGAAGTACCCTTAGTTAATCTTCCATCTTTCATCATAAAATAGTTGGTGGTTTTTTTATGTTTTGTTTTGTTATGTTAGTTACATTACTTATATACAGACAGTTACAATGAGTGAGTGAGAGAGTGAAAACTTGAAACTCAAACATCTTTTCTCAGGTTTCGCAGTTTCCATTAACGACTCGCTAAAGGGTTATCCCAACACAACTTGCATAACATCAACTGTGAGCTTTAACTATTATTTAGCAAAAGGAAACACTCAGAGATAATAATCAAAATAGTCAAATAACAATCAACAACAGCGAAAACAGATATATATATACCATATACCATAGACCATATACCATATTTCATATATCATATATCATATTTAGTTAGTTTTAGTTTTTCATATATCAATTATGGACTTTATGCTTATGTAAAAGTTTCAATCAAAAAGCAGTCAACATTTAAGGTATTTAGTATTTATCGAATTACATATACACATATATATAATTATATATATTAAAAAACTTCCTTTGAAATGGAGCAGAAACTTTAACAAGAAAACTGAAGAAAAAGTCAGGAAGTGATCTAGTTGTCTGTGCACGACTATCAGATACCCTTTTCAGAGCTAGTTTTTTAATCATTTTTGGTTATTTAAATACACTTAGAAACGTTTAGCTCCCTAAACTTTAAGAAATTGACTAATTGAACCTGTGTTGTAGTTGTACGATTTGGGTGAAATTTTCATCGAAATAAGTACGTTTTTTCCGTTTCAATGCTTCAGCGAATGTGAGTAGGTATACAAATCCATCAATGCTCAAACTCTGTGTATTTATTACAGTAACTTCTGAATTTATGTTTCAATTATTAATTCTACAAAATCAGAATACCCCTTGCCAGCATTCTCAATGGAATTGAAAGTTTAACAAAATAAATTAGAATATAATTTCATATACATATGCATATATATAATCGTGTTTTACGTGTATGTATATAACTGCGTTCATATATGGTATCTCTAATAGATTCTTTGTTCATAGCATTTTGTGTTCGCTCTTTGAGAGCAGCTTAAAATTCTTTCTTGTTGTCTATATTCTTATATATAGGTAAGTATTCTTCAGTTGACATGCTTTACTTCTTACTTTTACTCATTCTGCTAGTTGGATTCTCTTTGCTTGTGGAAGGACACATGATTCATGGTTCACATAATATGCACCTAAACGATATTTCATAGGATCTTTTAAATTTGCCAATTAATTTACATAAACAAATGAACCTGACTAGGAATATATATATACATACATACATACATATATATATATATATATATATATATATATATATATATATATACTTATATAGGTATGTATACTGTTCATTTGCAGTTCTTCGCGTTTTTTTTCCTTTTTAACTCTACTGAATAATACGTATTTGAATGCATTTCGTTTGCATATGTGAAATGCATTTGATATGTTTACAGTTACTTTCAGTTTTTTTCTTGTTTGACATTGATATGTATTTGTGTGTTTTTTATCGATCGATATATATCGATCGCCTCTAACATTATATATAAATTCCATTTACTCTACTTAAAATCAGCTTAAAACGCAAACATAACATAATCGATAAAAGGATAAAATAGTTGAAGGATCGATATGTTTAGTTCATTTATCGATCGATGTTTATAAATATTCTATAACATTGTATATAAACTCTTTTTACTCTGCTTAAAACTCAAAAGCAAAATCTAATACAAAATAGTTCAAGCATCGATAGGTTTCTTAGTATTCATCGATATTTAAATTCAGCTTAACACACGAACTGAATCGAAAGTAGTTTAGAATAAAGTTGATATGTTTTGGTTTGGTTTGGTTTTTATCGATTTATCGATCTTCTAAAACATTTATACATAGTTTATGCTTCAATTGCTCTATAAACTCCATTTACTCTACTCTCAAGGCCAGCTTAAAACACAACAGCAAAACTAAATAGAAAATATCAAATAGAGTTTTTACCGTTAGACAGAAACTATACAAAAACTGTGGCAAAATGAATATAACATTTGTCTGCACTTTATACCTGAGCACTTGTGTGTCTGAAGATACATCATATACATATATAATTGTGTATAACTGGATGCACATATATATCCTTCATAATATATGTATATGCTGAATGTGTACTAAAAAGCTTAAACTAAATAGATACTTGCAGCAACTAGTTAGTGGGTGTTTTAGTACTAAAAGTTACGGAACCGTTGGGGGTTGCAGTCGGCCGCTCAGAAAGCTGTATTATCCTGTTCAGCATTGGGCATGGCCATGCCCTCTCTTAGACCGCCCCCGCCGCCACCGCCGCCGCCGGCGCCGCCCGCTTTCCCAGTAGCTGAATCGAGCATTTTCTGCACCTGAGTTTGCGCTGTCTGTTGATTGAGACGCTTCGCCTCGGCTACAGGCAAATCATCATCAGACTCGAGAGCTGGATTTATGCGTCCATTGCGCTCATCTTTGCCCGCCATAGTGGCTGCGCCATAGGAGCGCGCCAACGGACCCGCCATGACAGACAGCTGCTCCCCAGACTCCGAAGGATCGCCCACGCGCTGCACATCCTCCGGTATGTTGACCACACACCGAAAGTAATCATAGCTGGGCGGCAACTTGCCCGATTCAAACATCATCCTAGCAAGAGAGAAAAGCTTAGCAATAGCCACTCGGACAAAGCTTGGACTTACTTGGTCCACCAGGAGACAAAGATGAGCGTAAACAGGCTGATCAGCATGGCCATGGTGCGGAAGGGAAACAGTTGCGTGTTTGTCTCTTCGTCATAGCCCGGGTAGTGTATGAGAGCTGGCATACCCAAGATGGCCTCTCCGCCTGATAGTCGAATGAAGAGCGCAATTATGTAGGCCGCTAGGCTGCCATAAGTATTGCAATGCTTCTTAAAGTGCACCACCATCAGCAGTTGTGGGAACAGAATAACGTAAACCAAGTCTGAGCACATGGACCTGAAAGCCAGAGAGGTGAGAGCACTTAACTAAATGAGACATCAATCAAAGTCAACGAACTTACCATAAGCCATAGATGGAGGGTATGGTTAGGGCCATGATTGTGGCCAGAATGCCCACGACTATGATGGCGACGCGCATTACCCAAATGATTTCCATTTCGGATGCCTTCTGACGGAAAATCAATTTGTAAACATTGCGTGCGAACATCGACGCAGCCGACAAGACGGACGAATCGGCTGAGGACATCACAGCTGCAGAGACAGCGCCCAAGCCAAAGAAGGACACGAAATCGGGCGTTAAATATTGCAGCACCATAGGCAAAATCATGCTGGTCTCATCTACAGTCAGTGGATATGGACCCTTGTACTCCGTCTCATTCCAGGCTACACAAGCAAAGATAAGATTAGACTAAGATTAGGCTAAGCTCCAATCGAACTCACGAGTTGCCTTGGCTATGGCACCAATTAGCACTGGCGGAATGGCCATCAGTATGCAGCCGGCAGCTGCTACATAGGAGAGCAGCTGTGCTCTGCCCGCTGTCTTGCTGGAGAGCACACGCTGAAAGTACACCTGCCAGGGTATGCCACCAAAGATGAGGAGCAAGCCATAGTCAATGTAGAACCAGCGCTGTTTCGGTTCCACATGTCCAATCCAATCCACATCCATGTCGCTTAGACTGCGCACATGCTCGTTGGTCCAGGCGAATGGAATGCACATCCACAGTCCGATGAAGATGCAGAACAGCTGTATGACATCTGTGTACGCCACCGAGTAGAGTCCGCCAAAGAGCGTATAAAATATGGCTATGCCCGACGATAGTATCACCGAGGTGCGATGATCCATGTCTATGATGACTGACAATGTGGCACCCAGCGCAGCCAAAATGCCAGCTGCCCAGAACACCTCGCCACAAAGTGCGGGCAGGAACAACAGGCCGCCCATGCGCTCACCAAACGAATCCTGCAACGGATCCAACATGGTGATGTAACCCTGTTTGCGCATGGGATTAGCAAAGAAGATGCCACCTAAGGTAGGAATTTAAATATTAAATTAGCTGGAGGAATAGCACATATCCGGAAAAATGAAATATTCAATATTTATGTTTACTTTTTGAGAATCTATTTATCTCTTAAGCTGGAGTCTTACTAGTCTGACCTAAGCGTGCTCAATTAAGCTAAAGAATATTCCAAGGCTTACCAAACACGAGGCTGAGTGCATAGCCAAACGGCGCCTGGCACCAAACCAAGCCCGAGGTATAGATCGCTTCCGCAGTGCCATTGATGTAGCCGCCACCCACCCATGTGGCTATAGAAATAGATAGATATTACGATATAGAGATATATAAATAAGTATAGTCAGAGATTAAAGTTCACCTGTCATGGTGAAGATGCCAACAAAGAGGCCAATGGAACGGCCAGCCAGCATAACCTCCTCTTCGGAATCATTGCCCGACTGTTTCTTACGCCCGGCCCAAATGCCAACGACCAGGATGAGCAGATAGAAGAGCACAATGCTCACCACGCCGGCTATGTTAATCATACTGTTGCGTTATCTTTTGTCCTTGAGCTTAGTAGCAGAGTAACCTCTCCTTCTTGTCACTTAATACTTATACGTTGGGTCTAACCTTAAAGCTTATTAAAAATAATGAGGTTAGAATTGAGAATGTTTCTTAAGAACAGTAGCATATTTATATGTTTGAATTGAAATATTCTAAGATTCTAATCTACCAAAGACTCATGGGCGAATATACGAATTTATATGTGTGCGAGAACAAGACAAGTAATATGAATACTGATCAAGCTCTTCCCAGTCGCGAATAGGAATGAAGAGTTTAGAAAGCTTTGCATAAAAGCAATGGCCGACTAGATAGGAATGACAATGTGCATGTATGTACGCATACACATATATGCGCTTGTGAGCAAAGGCAGATACTGTAAACACTGATCAAGCTCTTCTTGCATGAAGAGTTAAGGCAGGACTGAAGAATGTAGACAGCCATGCACAAAGGAAATGGCTGCCTAAAGACGATTGACTATATGTGCGTATGCATATACGTGTGTGCGAGTGAAACAAATAGAATTCACAAACTCTTGTTGACTGTATTAAAGTGATGTCGGCAGAGAAGAATGAAGAAGCTGTGCACAAAAGCAATCGCTGATTAGTTATGACTGACTAACTGCATGTTTGTATGTGTACGTATGCAATTACACATATTTAAATACACGCATCTATTTATAAACTTATATGTATAGCTACTGTATGTATACATACAGCGAACTTCCATTAAGGGTATTTTATGGCTTTGCACCACAGATAAGATTTAGTTGCTTATTCTTTTTAATAAATTAATTTTCTGTGCAGCACGCAGAATTAAATATGAAACCGCTGCACAGAACGCCCCTTCGCCGCCCCATTTGGCAAGGTCAGGGACAACCTCCCGCACCTGACCTTTGCACAAGGATAAACCTCGGCCCTTCGAGCTATCCTGGCATTCTCTAATGGCCTTTGATTCAGCGCCCGCTGTCCTTGTTAATGGTGTCCAATTAACTACAACATTAGCAATACGCGCAATATTAACGGACCTTGTTGCAAGGGAACGACATTAAGGTAGTCAAGCATTTAATAGTGCTAAATTGCAGGTGTCAATTAGTTGCAGTTGGTCAATTGGATAAATATCTATATCTATAAGTGACTGTAGCTCAAAATGAAAAGGGAAAGACTATCAAATACTCTATATACATACATATTTTTGTAATGACAATGGACTTAAAGAGCAGGTAAACAACAAAAAACATCTTTTATTATGTAAATAGTTCAGAAAATAATTTTCATATATCTAGTTTTTATAGTCTTCGAGAAGGAAGTAAATATTTAAAAGAAATAATATACCACATATAATAACTCACAAGAAATGTATATATATTCATGTACGATCAATAATATACATTCCTATATGTATATACATATATAAGCTGTCTGTTACATGTGCTTTCATATAAGCAATATTCCCCAACACACACTCGCTCTGTTTCTGATAAACAGTTAAGCAAAGCTTCATTCACAAAACAAACGGTAATTAAGCAATAGCAACAACAACATGGCTGGCGCTTCCAAATGGAAAGCACTCACTGAGTGTGACAGAGAGAAAGAGAGAGAGAGAGAGAGAGATAGCAAATGAGAGCAGCTCGCCATCACTGCGCATATTCCAATGCATTTATATTTTCAGGCAATTGAACTCACCTTTGCTATGGTAAGACCTTTCAGTGTACGTGTGTGTAAGTGTGTGTGTGTGTGTGCCAAGTTCAAAGCAGAGGCGTTAAGTTATGTGTATGGCGAGTGAGGGCCCCGCGCGTCTTTGGCTGGTTTTAACGACGGCAAATGCGCGCGCCAATCAAATGCGCCTTGACTTATGCAACATTTCCTAAACAAAAGTTTTATTAACCTTTTTTGCTTCTTTTTGCTAGTTTACGGATCACAGACGGAACAAACGACAGCGCTTAACGATAAAAAAAGCTGATCAATAAATAGGAAACACGAAAAAGTCTTCACAGTTTGCACCTGGGCAGCAGTCGCCCCAACGCAGGGACGTCTTTTGAGACGGACTGTTACGCGTTTTAAAATGTAACCCAGACATGTGCTCCGGCTCTATGGAAAGCACGTGGCGGAGGCATTAAAACAACTTTTCTATGCACAACAAACACAAATATTCAATTCTTTTACAGCTAACAGCAAATTATTAATTATTGGTATTGTTGATATTATTGATGTGATTAAATTAACAACAACAAATTAGATTCAACGATTTTTTTTGTTCTATGAAACGCAACAAAAAAGTCTCGTCGCACGCTGAAACGTTTCGCCGAATCGTGTTCCGACGAAAAGAGTAGCAAAATTATAACTGAATTGGAAGTTCAAGTGCTGGAGCCTTAACAGCCGCAATCAAGCTCAAATATTCGCGTTCATTCTCTATATGTGCGCAGGAATTTGTAAATGTGTTCATTTGCCCACTGCCCCTCTTTTCAAATTTTCCAGTGGTGGGTCAGGGGTTGGAATGCACACTGATACCGCACTTCCACTGCGGCTTATCAACTGCCGCCAGCTGGGGAAATGCCAATCGGAATGCATGGCATGTGTTGAAAAGCTCAGCAGCAACAGCTGGGGAAATTCCAATTGGCATTGTGTTGAAAAACTTTAGAAGGATTAATTTCGATAACTGGATTGATTATTATATACTGAAGTTATCATTCAATTAAAAATAATAAATTATTTAAAAGAATTTAATATTTTAAATAATATAAATTACAATATAAATTTGTTATTCGAATTGTCTAATTGGAAATGCCCCGATCGACAAAGCTTGTCATGCTGATCAAGTATATATATACCTCATAGACTCGGCCGTTGCCTGTTACATACCGTTTGCTTAGCCAACTTCAATGGGTATCTCAGCTTCCAGCTCCAACCACGCATCTTCGACAAAAACTCATTTGTTTAAACACCTAATTAACTGTCTAAAAGCAGACAAAAACTGTTTAATTAAATAATATAAAATAGTTAATTAACAATTTCTAGCGTAACTAAATATTAAGCAAAATATTTTTAATATTTTTGTCGGTTTTGTTTTTGTTTTTCGATTACTTTTGCTAATAGCCAAATTTCTCATTGAGGTGGGTGAAGCCGTCGCCGCTTTGATTAGTCGGCGGTATCCACTTGGCATACTTTTCGCTCTGCTCGTGCTCCGCCAGCTCATCTAGATCCATGTCCACATCCAATCGCTGCTTGTTGCTATTGCTGGTATTGTTGTTCCGCTGTCGTTGACGTTGGCGACGTTTTCGCTCTCCTTCAGCACTTGGCTCCTCGGCAGCTGCTGTTTCTGGTGGCGCTGCTACTTCTGTTGCTTCCTCACATTTGGTATGGAGTTCCGCCTTAGTAGTTGACGACTCTTCTTTCTGCTGCTCAAGCTTCTCCTCCTCCCGCCTCTCTTCCTCTCGCTTCTCCTCCTTCCGCTTCTCCTCCTCTCGCTTCTCCTCCTGATCCTCCTCCTTCTTTAACTGCTGCTCTTGCTTATCCTGCTCCGGCTGCTCTTCCTGCTGCTGCTGCTGCTCCTCCTTTTTCCCCTGCTGATCCAACTTCTGCACCTGCTTCCTCTCAAGCTCTTCTACCTCCTCCTCCTCTTCCTCCTCTTCATCTTCATCGGCAAATGCTTTCGCACTTTGCACTTTGCTGCATGCACTCGGTTGCGCTTTCACAATCTTAAATTTACTAAACTGATTTCGTTTGCCAATCATGGGCAGTTGCTTTTTGACCACATTGCTTTCCGGCCTCTGCTCTTGGCTAGTGGCCGTGTCAAAGGGCAAAGCCGTTGGCTTAGCAATCCTAATGAGCCGCTGCAACTTTTGTTGATCCGCTTTGATGCGCTGCTGCTCGAGCTACAAGTTAATAGAATATTCCATTTAAGCAAACATTTCTTTCCCGTTAAACTGTGGCTCAACTCACTCTCAGCTTTTTGATCTCTGTTTTGTCCAGCTGTGTGACATTTTCATTGAGGGTGTCCATGAAATTGTCCAGGTCATCGCTGGCGCTTTGCTGCTGCACGGCCAGCGCCTTCAGCCGCTTCTCGTTCTGCTGATAGGCGCCAATTTCGAGCTCCACTTTGGCCAGCTCTGCATCCAGTTCGCTCTGCTGCTTCAGCTGCGAAGAGTAAAAAAGTTAATTGAAATTATTATAAATGAAGGAAACGTTTAGCTACCAAATCGTCGTAGGTGAGCGTGACATTGGCGCTGGCATTTGCTAGGCGCTGTTTCTTTCTGGCCACATCGCCTGTGCGATCCCAGAACTCGTCCTCGTCATCCGAATCACCCTTGGCTTTGAGCTGCTTGCGTTTCTGCGACTCCTGATTGGCCTGTCGCAGTACGCCATGACGATCGAGTGTGCGACATGCCTCCAGGGCGCACTGCACCACACAGTCCTTCTTGCGGCCCTTGTGCGTCGCCTCCACGACTATGGAGCGGCCATTGGAGTCATCTATGGGCAGCTCCACACGGCAAACGAACGAGCCTTGGACAAGCTCATCGCATTTGTATTCCAGATCTAGGCCTTCGCGTTCAAAGAAACCTCGTAGAGTGCGCTTGGGATCATCAAAGAAGAGCTCCTCATTGTTGGTGCTCGCATATGGATTATGTGTGAGATCTGTTTCCTCGTCGGCATCCTCGCCCATGCCCCAGCTGGCGCCTTCGTTACGTTCCCTTTCCTCAGCTTCCATTAATTTGCGCTCCCTTTCGGCCATTGCTGCGGCCACTTGTTGTTCACGTTGTTCTCGTAACTCCGTGACTGTTAACTCCGACTCCGGCTCTTCATCCTCACCGGGACCCTGCAATATGTAGACCCGCGTGCTGCTTCCCATTTTGAGCATATGGCCAACGCGAATGCGTATAAAGACGCGTGGGGGCACGCGCTGTTTGTTGAGGAAGGTGCCATGTGTACTTCCGAGATCGTAGATATACCAGCCCTCAGGTTTAGCTGACTCTTCCTCCTCTCCGTCGATTGCTTTTGGTTTGTATTGAAGTACTGCATGGTAGCGCGAAATGGTTGGATGCGCCATGGCTACATCGTTGTCAGGCAGACGGCCAAAGGTCCAGTTGGCCTGTTGCTGCAGCTGCTTAACTTCGTCAATGATTTGTCCCGATTTTAGCACCTCGAATCTGTAATCTTGTCCATCATTTGGCGGCTGCGACCACTTGGGCACTTTGTAGGGGCAGCCAGTCGTTGCCTTGGATTTAGCAACTTCTGCTGGCGTTGGCTCTTCGACAGTAACTTCGCTTTTAGTGGTTGGGGCGGCTGGTAAAATGGGCACCTTGAACTCATCCATGTTTCATGGACGGTGCAACCTTTTTCCTTTTAATTTTGTATATATTTGTGCTTTTAAACAATCTTGTATATGTTAGTGATGTGTGCAGACATCGCAATTTTCATATACCGATATTCGATACCGATATTGCGTTAGTGATGTGCATATTGCAACGATCACCTGCGCTGTCAAAAATATTGTTTCACATGCTTAGACAATTTCGTAGTTTATATTAAATGATGTATAGCATATAACAAATATAGTATTTTTGTTCTTTTGTATTTCCATTATTATTAAATTATCATATATTATTTAATTTAATGTATACTATCGATGTATATTGTATGCATCGCTAACGCAGTATCAAACATCGTTATAAATATACCGCATAATGTGCTAAAAATTCCCTTAAAAAATCAAGTTGGCAGTCCGCGCTTGGAATTTCGCGGTTATTTTTTGTTTTTGTTTATTTTTAGTTTAATTTATGTAGTTTAAGATAAATTGTATATTAATAGAATATTTAATAATTATGGCATTTTCACAATCCTTTGAATTTGGCGACAGTACGTTTATGAAACTGGAAAACGAATTAAAAGCACCCAGTACCGAGAACAACGAAAACAATAACAAGCAGGAAACGAATGCCTTGGATGTTATACAGGAATCGCCGCCAAAATTTAAATTGAAATCTCAGCGTGTTTACACACAAGTTGTGTCAAATAGATCGAAGTTATCACAGCGCCAGCGATTTCGTCGCAGTAAATCCGACTCCAAATTGGGAGGAGCAACACCAGCAATAAATGGCAGCTGTGAAAAATATTCCCAGTTCTTTAAGGACAACTTTTCGTACGATAAAGAGCCGGAGAAGAATAGGGAGGAGTCACCAAACGAGGAATCGTTAATGCGTGTCTCTCAAATCCAGGCAGACTTGGATGCAGAAAAGGAATCGCTTGAAGCCAGCTATGAACATCTAAATACCACTTCCATTTTTGAGGCACAAATTTGTACAGAAGATGTTTTTGGTACAGAGACGGAGCCGGAGCCGGAGTCGGAGCTTGAGCAGAATGGGAGCAGAAGCAGCGCACCCATTGAATTGGAAAATTTGGATGAGAGCAGCTTTCTGGCACCCGCCAAGGATTCACACGCAGCGCAACAACTGCAGCAGGATCTCATACGCAGTCGCTGTGAACTGGCCAAGCAGAATCTTGGCTGCACGCAAAGATTGACCCAAAATCTAAGCAGCATGTCACCCAATCAACTGCACCTCTCGCCCAGTTGCCCTGTTGAAAAAGAGTCACCTAAACCTCAGCCGCCTGTGGACATCAAGGCGCTCAAGCAAATCTCCGCCTGGAATTTGCCGCACAGTGTGTTAGCGGAGTATAAGAAGAAGGGCGTCATAGAAATGTTTGACTGGCAGGTGGAATGCCTTAGCAAGCCAAAGGTGCTCTTCGAGCATTGTAATCTAGTCTATTCCGCACCCACATCCGCTGGCAAGACGCTGGTCAGTGAGATTCTGCTCTTGAAGACGGTGCTGGAACGTGGCAAGAAGGTGCTGTTGATCCTGCCGTTCATTTCGGTGGTGCGCGAGAAGATGTTCTATTTGCAGGATCTGCTGACGCCAGCTGGCTACCGCGTGGAGGGCTTCTTCGGCGGTTACAGTCCGCCAGGTGGCTTTGAGAGCATTAACGTGGCCATCTGCACCATCGAGAAGGCCAATTCGATTGTCAACAAGCTGCTGGAGCAGCGTAAACTCGAGGATCTTGGCACTGTGGTTGTGGACGAGGTGCATCTCATATCGGATGCGGGTCGTGGCTATATCTTGGAGCTGCTGCTCGCCAAGATTTTGTACATGTGTCGCAAGCAGGCGTTGCACATCCAGGTGATCACCATGTCCGCCACCTTGGCCAACGTCCAGCTGCTGCAGCATTGGCTCAACGCCGAGCTCTATATAACAGACTTTCGTCCAGTGGCGCTGAAGGAGATGATCAAGGTGGGCAGCAAGATCTATGGCAATCAGTTGCAGCTGCTAAGGGACTTAAGTCGCAATTCGGATGTGCCAACACTTGCTAACGACGGCGATCATGTGGCGCAGCTGTGCATCGAAACGCTGCTGGAAGGCTGCTCCGTAGTGGTCTTCTGCCCATCCAAAGACTGGTGCGAAAACCTGGCCGTGCAGCTAGCCACGGCCATGCACACGCTCATCAAGTCCGAGAGCAATGTGGGCAAACGACTGCGCGCTCAACTCAACCAGCTGGCCATAGATGAAGTCAAGCAGCAGCTGCGCGATATACCCACAGGTGGATGCCTCTATATGCACACATTGAAATATATTCTCATTATATCATCTTTTTGGCTCACAGGTCTCGATTCCGTTATGTCAAAGGCAATAAGCTATGCCTGCGCCTTTCATCATGCCGGCTTGACTACGGAGGAGCGCGATATCGTGGAGGCCAGCTTCAAGGCGGGCGCATTGAAGATTATTGTGGCCACCAGCACCTTGAGCTCAGGTGTTAATCTACCCGCTCGGCGCGTGCTCATTCGCTCTCCCCTGTTTGGGGGCAAGCAGATGAGCTCGCTGACCTACAGGCAAATGATTGGGCGCGCCGGCCGCACCGGCAAGGATACACTGGGCGAGTCCATACTCATCTGCACCGAGAGCAATGCACGCATCGGTCGGGAGCTAGTCACAGCACAGCTAAAGCCTATTAGCTCCTGCTTGGATCTGGATGGCAGCGTAAGCTAAATGGATGGGGATGGATGGGGCTGAATCAAAGATTTCAAATATTTTATGTTTTACAGACGCATTTGAAACGCGCGCTGTTGGAGGTGATCTCATCTGGTGTGGCCAGCACCAAGCGGGACATTGATAGCTTCTTCAGCTGCACATTGCTCAGTGCGCAGCGACAATGCAGTGCGTCAGTCAAAGAGGAGGCGCAGGAGGAGGAAGAAACACAGGACATAAGCGATGCTCTAGATTTTCTACTGGAATACGAGTTCATACGCCTGCAATCGGATGAGGAAACGGATATGCAAAACTATGTGGCCACACGCTTGGGTGCTGCTTGTCTAGCCTCATCGATGCCACCTACGGACGGACTCTTGCTCTTTGCCGAGCTGCAAAAGTCGCGACGCTGCTTTGTCCTAGAATCGGAGCTGCATGCCGTTTATCTGGTGACGCCCTATTCCGTCTGCTATCAGCTACAGGATGTTGACTGGCTGCTCTATCTGGACATGTGGGAGAAACTGAATCCCGCCATGAAGAAGGTGGGCGAACTGGTCGGCGTCAAGGAGGCGTTCCTAGTGCGGGCAATGCGCGGCCAAGCCAAACTGGACTATAAGCTCATGCAGATCCACAAACGGTAGGCGCAACGTGAACCAGAAAAGATTAATTCATTCACATGTTCACTTGCAGCTTCTATACGGCACTGGCATTGCAGGAGCTGGTGAATGAGACGCCCATCAATGTGGTGGCCCACAAGTTCAAGTGCCAGCGCGGCATGCTACAGAGTCTGCAGCAGATGGCCTCCACGTTCGCTGGCATTGTGAGCGCCTTTTGTAACTCCTTGCAGTGGTCCACTTTGTCGTTGGTCGTCTCACAGTTCAAGGACCGACTCTACTTTGGCATACATCGCGATTTGATTGATCTGATGCGTCTGCCCGATCTGAGCCACAAGCGCGCACGCGCACTTCACGATGCGGGCATCACTAGCTTGGTGGAGTTGGCTTCCGCCAATGTGCTTGCTCTGGAGCAGGTGTTATTCGATTCGCTAAGCTTCGATTCGGCTAAGCGGCACGAGAACGAGAATGAGCTTCAGGCCGCTCAACGCAATACGGCCAGAAATTTCTACATTACCGGCAAAGCTGGCATGACTGCGACCGAGGCGGCCAAGCTACTCATCAAGGAAGCGCGTCAATTTGTGCAGCACGAAATCGGAGTTGGCAGCATTCAATGGACGCAGTCAGTCAAAGCAGTAGAACAGCTGCACATGTCTTTAGAGGAGGCGCATCCAGTGGGCATAGAGTTGAGCTCGCAACGAAAGCGCAAGACGCCAGACAGCGCAGAGAGGCCATCATCAAGAAAGATAGCCAAGCTGGATGAGCCGCAGCCTGAGACAATCAGCAAAAGCGAACTGAAGTGCGTGAAGCAGGATATTACAATGAATGTAGAAACTAAAGTCCAAGCCCTGTCCTCAGCATTTGTACCTCCTAAAGCTGCCAGCACAAATAACGTTGTGCCTGTAGAAGGCAGAGTCAAGGAGCTGAGTGCAGCAGTTGTCAAGGAGCCAAGTCCACTAGCTGTAGCCACACCAAAGCCTCTCCTCGAGCGCAATCAACTGAGCTCAATCAAAGTCCCCGAAGATGAGAAGCCAAGCACCAGCGCAGCTAGTCGCAAGGAGCTGCTGCAGAAAGAGATTGAGGAACGGCGACGCGTGGCCATGATGAAAATAAGCAAGAAGCGCGCTGAAATGGAAAATATGCATAAAGGATTGGCTAGTAATGCGCTTCCTGAGACAATGTTGGGTCAAATGCCACCAACAACAGCAACAGGACACACGGAAAATGTAAAGGAAAATCTACCAAACAACGATTTCAAGACGCCCACAAGACTGGCGGAGACCAAGTGCAATAACGGCAAGGAAACGGTTAAGCAACTACCACGACGCAGTCCACGAAATCATCAAAGCACCCAGTCAAATAAGCAAGCTGCAGCTGTGGAGCAGCAGAAGGACCAGGAGCAGGAACTCTTCGCGAGCGATGACTCCTTCATGCTTAACACGGGGCTGACGGCCGCTCTGACAGCTGCTGAAAGCAAAGCCCAAGCGGATGCTGATGAAATACCCAGTTCACAGCCAAAGGCTGGGACTCCAGGCAGCTGCAGAACTCTAATCTCGAGTCAGTTGATCCGCTCGCAACGCAGAAAAACTCCCAGGCCGGAGGCAGCAAGAGGTGCTCAGCTCGTGCAGCAGTCCACATCGAAAGCTGCCTTCGCCAGCGAAGCTCAGCTGAATCAGCAATCCTCCTCTAGAGAAGCTAAGCTGCAAGAGGAGCCGAATTTCGCCTCTTCCAGTGAACAGCAATCCACATCGACCGCCGCCTCCTCCTCCATTGAGCTGTCCAATATGTCGCTAGAAAACTCGCTGATAAAGCATCCATTGCAGCTGAATGCCTCGCATATAATGAGCTGCTCCAAGACGGAGGAAAATGCGTCCAGTTTTAGCAGCATTGACATCATTGACATATGCGGCAACCGACAGCTCTTCCAGATGGCCACCCAAGAGCTGCTCCAATCAAAACGTTGCGGCTTCAGCATCGGCCTGCAGCCACAGACGGGCAAGCGGAAGCCACTGATTGGTGGCAATCTGTTGATCAACCAGATGGCCGCTGCGGCAGAGCGTGAGGCAGCTGCAGGCACGAGCGTGCAGTTCCAAGTGGATGATAGCTCTTATCTAGCAGGAGTGGCCTTTTGCCTAAACGACAATGTGGTCTACTATATGAACATGCAGCCAGAGGAGAAGCAGCAGCAGGTTAGCAGCGAGTTGAAGGTGCAGCATTTGTGCAGCCTGCTGAGCCGACAGGACTTCACACTGCTCACACACGATGCCAAGGAGCAGCTAAAGATGCTGCGTCAAGCTGTGCCACAGCTGAAGGACGTTCAAGTGATGCTCGAGGATCCGAAGGTGGCCAACTGGCTGCTACAGCCAGACAAAACGCTTAGCTTTCACAATATGGTAAATAGCTAACAGAGCTCTCAGTATTATCCGCTAACCAGGTCCAAATCTTTCATCCAACAGTGCCAGCAATTCGCGCCGGAGTGTGGGGCGCTGGCTAATCTCTGCGGCAGTGGACGCGGCTATAGCAGCTTTGGTCTAGATGCCAGCAGCGCCATCGTGGCCAAGGTGCGTGCCTCCATTGAGGCTTGTGTCACTGTGCACATACTAAACGGACAGCTTGAGAATCTGGAAAGGATTGGCACTGGACAGCTGCTCAAGTTCTTCAGAGGTTGGTCAGGTTGTATACCCTTGTATATAAGCCCTTTCATTGTTGATCCTCGTCCTCAGAGGTGGAGATGCCCATACAACTGTCGTTATGCCACATGGAATGCATTGGCTTTCCAGCCAAGGAGCACAGCTTGCAGCGTCTCTTTCAACAGATGCTGGCAACCATGAAGAGGCTAGAGTCCAAGATCTACGAGCTACATGGTTCACGCTTCAGTTTGGGTTCCACACAGGCGGTGGCCAAAGTTCTCGGACTGCATCGCAAGGCCAATGGACGCGTTAGCACCTCGCGGCAAATTCTGGAAAAGATCGATTCGCCCATATCCCAGCTAATACTCAACTATCGAAAGCTGAGCATGTTGCTCGCGAAGAGCATGCAGCCGCTGCTCAAATGCTGCCAGGCGAATCGTATACATGGCCAGAGCATTACCTTTACAGCCACTGGGCGCATCTCCATGTCGGAGCCGAACTTGCAAAATGTAGCCAAGGACTTTAATATCGAATTGGCCAAAGAACAGCTTAAAATCTCGTGTCGCAGCGCCTTTGCGCCTATGGATGAGAAACGTTGCCTGATCTCTGCTGACTTTTGTCAGCTGGAGATGCGCATCTTAGCGCATCTCTCACAGGACAAAGCGCTCCTGCAAGTGATGAGCTCGAGCCAAGATCTATTTACAGCAATTGCGGCGCACTGGAATAAAATAGACGAATCGAATGTATCCGAACAGCTGCGTAATGGCACCAAACAAATTTGCTATGGCATTGTCTATGGCATGGGCATGCGCAGCTTATCGGAAGCTTTGAAATGCACAGAGCAGGAGGCACAAATGATAACGGAACAGTTTCATCTGGCCTACACAGGCATCAAGTGGGTGTATTACTTTATATTATTTCATCGGTTTTTATATTTGTTTGTATTTCGCAGAGCATATGCCATGAAAGTTGTAAAATTCGCACGTAACAATGGCTACGTGGAGACTATCACAGGAAGAAGACGTTACCTGGACCACATTAACAGTGGCGAGCTGCAATTGAAGAGTCTGTATATTCAGCATTTATCCAACTCAGTGGATTACTATTCTTAACTATAACTCTCTTACAGCTCAAGCTGAACGCCAGGCCATCAACTCGACTATCCAAGGCTCTGCAGCTGACATAGCCAAAAGTGCAATTCTGCGCATAGAAAAGAATCTTGGACGATATCGTGAAAAGCTGGGCTTGGCCAAAAATGCCGTAAATCTCGTCTTACAGCTGCATGACGAACTAATCTTTGAGGTGCCCACGGATAAAGCTAAGAAAGTGGCAAAAGTTTTAAGTTTAACAATGGAAAACTGCGTTAAGTTAAATGTGCCGTTGCGAGTAAAGCTGAAAATCGGACGCAGCTGGGGCGAACTGCAGGAAGTCAAGGTTTAAACTGGAGACTAAAAGCTTGTCCTTGAATTGAAAGCACGAAAAGCATCCGTTTTGCATTAGTAATGGGGTTACTCTTATAACTCATTAAGCGATGTGTGGGATGCGTGCAAATATTTGAACCTCGACAAAGTGGTTAATCGATTCGATGTAAACACAAAAGTTATCGACTGATATGTTATCGATAGTAATAAATTTGAGCATTCCGAAGCGCGAGCTTCGCCCCAACTGCTGCTTCCTGACATATACATATATATATTTCAATATATACAAATTTTTTAAAGGGTATCCAAATATCAAAACGCTTGCTTATTTGAAACAAATTTCACAACAAATTTATTATTTTTTGAGCTCGCATTGTTTATGGTTCATTAGTTTATTTGCCCTGTTTTTGCTCCCATTCAGTCCATGAGCCAGCATAGGCTTTTGCGCTGTAAATAAATAATGTATGTGTGAATAATAATTATACATGCTGCGCCATAGTGGTTGTTTGTATGTGCTCATACTTAATAAATCCCAACGTTTTGATCAGATTTGCGGCACGCGCTGCTCTGCCACCAGCCTTGCAGGAGAAGATCATTTCCGCATCAATGGACGGCTTGGCGCGCCCATAAGTTTTCTTGAAATCGTCATCGGGCAAGTTAAAAGCCTTTTCTAACTCGGGCACTGAAACATGCATGCACAGCATGACTCATCAAAAAAAAATTCGGCTAGTTAATCTTGGTAGCTTTACTACTTACACGGTATATTAATGCTAGCTGGCAGTACACCAGTTTCTTCTAGCTCATTTTTATTGCGTACATCGAATAAATATTTAGTGGGATGATTTGGTATATCTTTCACTTCCTCGTAGCTGGCCATCTTAATTAAATAATTAAATGCGAGATATAAAAAAAAAGATGTACAATTTTTTCTGACTATAAAGCTGAAGCCGGTTGATTAGTATGCTAGATTAAAATATCGATTCTATCTATCGACTACTGTAGGCTGCCAACTTGGAAAACGTTCCAGTGTGACCATACAGTGCTTAAGAAATAACGTCTTTTTTTGTTGATTCATTTTCAGTTATTCAATTTATTCGTAATTTACAAAATGTTTTTAAATGTATTTTCATTTTACAAGAATTCACTAAATATGTGGTGAAGGCATTCAATTGCACAATTTTTATTGCATTTGTGTTAAATTAAACATGATATTGCAAATAAATATATTACTTTAGTTCGAATTCAATATATACTCGCATATATCTATGTGAATATATATGCATATAGGTATATATATATATATATATATATATATATATATATAATATGTGTATCAAAAGTAGTAGTACTTTCACTAACTTCATGCCTTTTCATTATTATTGAACAAGTGTTTATTATTATGTACTTTACTCTTAAATCAACATTTGACGTTATTAGTTATAGGCAGCGCTTATTTTAGAAAACTGTATTATTATTTGTTGTTGTACAATTCCACTAGCTAGTTGTTATATATATTTGTAATTCCTTTAGCTTTACAATTTAAAATTGATTTGTTATCCAAAAATAGTTTGTGTTTGCTTCCTCCGATATTTCTTTAAGTTACAGTTTTTTAAAACGACAAAATAAAGTACATATAAAAAAGTTTCTACGAAACGAAAAACGTATAACAAACACGAGTGCAGCATAAATATGTTGCCAACGTTCTGTGAAGGCAATATATTTCGTGTGTGCGAATATTCCCCATTTGGTTTGTGGATGATTTCCGCATTAAGCGAAACGCTTTGATGGTGGGACCAAATGCTCGGGCAATGCAGTCGGCAGCTCACAGCCATCGAGCTTGACATTGATTAAGTGCAATGCCAGCGCAAATTCATCAATATCCAAAAAGCCATCGCAATCAATATCAGATAGTTTCCAGATTTTGCTAAGCACAGAGTTAGGCAGTTTTGATTTGATGAGCTCCTGCTTGGCAGCTACAGTACAGAAATATTAAACATTAAAGTAATCTTGCAGTTTTCAATCACATCCGCAACACTTACTTGAGCCAGAGATTTTGCCATCGACCGGTCCCAGCCCATTGAAGATGGCATCTGTACGTGGCTTATCCTTATTGCATATCCATTCGTGCTCCCCGCATCCAGCATCGATGCCCTCGCCCTTCATGTAGCCGAATGGTGAGACATTGTCATCGATGACGCCCTCGAACGCACCACCTGCAAAAAATTACAAAAAAAAAGGAAATCAGCTTAATTACAAATCCATAGCGTTAGTATTTGTACTTATATATTGCTAATCTAGTCTTCATTAAGGATGCAATCTAATATATTTCATATCGATAACAATGTTTTTTCTTAAGTTCGTTCTCTAATAAAGCAACCATGTAGTTTGTTCATTGGGCATGTAATCTAGTCAATTAGATATCGATGACAATGCTATCTGTTCATCTCCATCTCCAATTCTGGTCAAGCAATATAAATGCAGATTCATTAAGCATGTAATCTAAGTGGTTGAAACACACACGAACACACGTTCAATTAGGCGCAATTAAAAACCTTCAGTTTCGTTTAGGCTACAATTGAGATGCCGCCACATCGTGACCGTCATGCGAGAGACTTAAGTACGCACTTTGTCTGCGCCCCTACCTCAACAAGTGCAACAATAAACAGCCCTGGCGCATAGTAAACGAGCTCGAGTGCCTCATGTGGCAAGTGTACACTCTTGCATTCTTTGCATACCCTTACAGAAGACTATTTACTTTTCATATGGCATTTGTAACACACATCGCCAATCAACTGGTAATTTAATGCATAAGACAATTGTCTATGATTTTTGTTCTCAGATCATCTCTAGTCTTTTCTCCTATACTTTATTTTCCCTATGTTACTTTTCCCGTCCCTTACACAACTTCAAAGGTATTTGATCTTCGGTAAACCGAAGTAAATTGTATTGTCAATTGATTTGCAAATCGTTAAAGCAATATATAGTTATATCGTATATTAAGTTCCACGTGAGAGTTCGAGAAATAGTTATATTGGCTTGCTTACATCAATAGCAGTCTCGGGCTCTGGCTGTGGGGAATCGAGTTTGGAATCGGGTTGGACGATTGTCTCAATTGCCTTTGCGTTGTCTGTATCTATGTCTGTTTCTGTATCGTTCTCGATATGGCCTACTCTACTAGTGCAGCTGCTGAACAGTCGAAGCTGCTGCTGACGTAGATTTTGCAGCCAGCGATCGAAGCGCTCCGCAAATTGGGCACTTTGTGTGCCAGGGGTCAGAACCTGGGGCTCCTTCTCCTCCTCCAATTCCTCCTCTTCCTCTGTGATACAAATGTATAAAAAGAAATTAGAACGACAGTAAGACAGAGAGAGGGAGAGAGACAGAAATTGCTAGTGCAAGAGCGTGACAAGGAGGTTACCCTTTCTTCAACTCCTCATCCTCTTTTGAGTTACAAATGCATAAATAGAAATCAGAGTGAGAGATAGGCTGAGCTGCTGGTGCAAGAGAGTGGCAAGGAGACTCCTCTTACACCAACTCCTTCTCCACTTCTACCTCTGCTATGCAAATGCATAAAACGAAATAAGAACAAGAGTAACACAGAGACAAAGAGAGTGAGAGTTGCTGGTGCGGCAGCGTGACAAGGAGTTTACTTCCCCTCTTTCTTCTCCTCCTTTGCTAAACAAATGTACAAAATGAGATTAGAGCGAATGAGCGAGACAGAAAGAGAGACAGGGGCAACTAGTTGCTGGTGCAAGAAAGTGACGCAAAGCATTTAAAATAATTTTGACGAACGGTTGAAAAATCTACAACTAAATAAAAAACAAAATTAGTGTACCATTGTCAAAGTAGAGGAGAAAAGAATTGGCCAACTAAAGAAGAAGAGCTCAACACATCTCGACTCGCAGAGTGGGTTGAAACTTTTTAGCGACATCTTGCTAAACATTGTGATATTTGCAAATGTGTTTGTCATAAAGTACGTACACACACACAGATATATATGTATGCATACATATATTTGTTATGATAGAAGATGAGCGAACAAACTAGACGAAAACTAAAAAAAAAAACTTGTCCGAGAACGTGTGGAAATTTAATGAAATTTGCTTGCCTTGAAGCACGATCTGTGACAAATGTTATACGAGAAACAGAGATTATTAATGTTTGTAGAGTATCTAGATAACTACCAGTTATCACATCATAACATTGCTTTAATGTATATATAATTCTGTTGAAGAAACTGAATCTTGAAAAAAGTATCTTTCGAAATATCAAATATGTCTACATCTGGATCTCTAGTATAATTTTTATTATATATTATATCTATTTATATTCCATACAATCAATCAGTGAAATTGCCCCTCTGCATACTAAAAATCTCGCTGAAAGAAAATCTATTTCATTCAAAGGTCATTTGCCCGCCTAAAATAACAAAAACATTTCAACGGAAATGCAACAAGAGACGAAATACAAACAAAAGCACGGATCGGAAAAGCGGAAAATCAACGAATGACAAGTGTAAATAAAAGATATAGAAGAAAGAGATGGAGAGAGAGAGAGAGAAATGCCCGGCACATTATTCAAGACAAACGAAATTAGCATCGGAATTGACGTTCCGAGCGTTCTTGACTTTGATTTCTCGCTCTGCTCAGCTCTGCTTCGTTTCTGATGTCAACTTATCAGCACATTCTTTAATTTCTTTTTATTTTTCGGTGGGTATCTTTAAGCAGTGCCCCCAGTTCCTATGCCAACGCTTGCGGTAATTTCAAACAAGTTCATTCACTTGCCCACTGCATTTTCGTATACCCTATAGAGTAAGTATACTTTAGTTTTGTTACTCGCTCAAAAAACTGAAGTGAGTATATTTTATTGGAAAAAATTACTACAGTATAGCCACAGCAGGAGTATGTGTTAAGCACGCACTTTGAATAAAAGCCTCTCAGCTTATCAATAAATTATAATTTCAATTGGCTTTTTTTGCTTATTGTGCCTTTAGCGAGTATCAGCCTGTTTGTTACAGCCGATTGCAAAAATTGATGTTTTTTATTTTGGACTACTGCAAAATCAACGTAATTTAATTGGGGGAAATATTTGGTGAGGCATGACGCATATATAAGCCGATCGAATGACATCAGATTTGATCGCCTTCGAATTGGTTGGATAATATATATATACATCTGTATAGTGAATAGATGTGAAATGGCAATCAAGTGGGTTTTAGTTTAGCCACTCGCCCAAAGCTTAAAATGCCTTTTAGAATAGTTCTGGAAATACATATATATACGATTCAAATCATCAAATAAATGCTTTCTTCCTGCACTTAGTGGAAGTCTCTCTCTCTATTCCTCTCTTTGTCTCTTTCGCTGCCTCAATTTGGATTTGAATTTTTAGTTGAAATTTGTAGAGCATAGGATGAGGCCACTTAAAGGCACACGCGACACGTCGGCGCCACAAATTGATCCGCGGCCTCAGGTTGCCCGCCCAAGCGTTGAGAGGTGAGAGACAGCGAGATATAGTTATGTGGCATAGGTATTACGAATTGGAATCGGAATTGGAATAAATTGCATTGGGCTTGGCTAGACTTAGCCTGACTTGTGCCAGTTTTGTGCAGCTTTGAGACAGAGAGAGATCAAGGAGGCGGGCAAGCAAAATGCATTTAATTTAAACATATATATATATATATATATATATATATATAAGCAAACAAAGCAAATGCTATCACAACTTATGTCTATGACAACTGCATTAATTACTGTATATCATTATGGTAAAAGATATGATAAAAAAATTTACCAATAGTTAGATATTAGACTAGAGATGTGTCTTTAAATGAAATAAAACAAAATGAATATTTTAATTTCACTTAAATATTATTTATCACTTAAATATTATTTAACTATGTTTTCATCAATACTTTTTTTACTGTAACTATTTTAGATTCGTACATTTTTCAAACTGCCTTTGTTTATTCATTCATTCATTCCTCATTAATCCGTTATTTCAAATCATATGCGTTACGCCATTTAGCTAGTGTACTATGTAATGTCTGGCAAGTGTGTGCAGCTTTCGCATATAAGTATTTTAAGTATTCCTTTCGGCCAATTTATGTCATCTTTTTGCTTGTTTTATTAGTGCGCGTGCTTCATTTGTTAGCTAATAATTATTTTCAATCACGCACTTACACACACATACATAGTTGTGCCTAGCTAGCACGTCTAGTTTGTCATTAAATACATAAGCACAGCGGGTCACACTTTTTTTATTAAAAGTATTTCTTTGGAGCAACACACACATACACATATTTCTATATACATATATATAGCATCTTTCGCATAAGTATACATTATATTTATAAACACAGCTGGTCACACTCTTTATTAAAGGCATTCTTGCAAGTTTTCGCACTAGAAAATTGATCATGTGGCATATGTGCCATACATATATAACATATATAAAGAATTATTATTTATTAATATACTATTTATTCTGCGCTCATTCGGTATTGATAACAAAGCGACTTCTTTGTTGTTGGAAATTAGAACAGTGCTAACTAAGCAAGGGGCGGGCAATGGCACTAGCATAGGCCACGCACTCATACCCTACACGTGAGGCATTACTATTTAATGATACAATATGTAACGCATATTAATAAAAACGTATTATATATATATATATTATATCGACTAAACTGAGCATTCTCATTTTTTTCTTGTATCCAAGAGTGAAACTTAAAAGCTACAAATTTATACACCTTGATAAGAGTTGGCTATCTATCCAGCTATTAGCTTAGTTCTCTATCTGAAGAGCAGCCTCTGGCAAAGCGTCAAAATAATCGAGATAGCCATAGCAAACACATATAACACTTAGTTGACTTGGCCCACTTACATTTATGATTAATATTTCTAGTAATAAACAATTCATTGGGTGGAAAATGAACAGGTGGCGAAGTGGAACAGCCAACAAACCAGAAGACCTTGAACTTAACTTAACTAAAAGCCAACCAAAGTCGAGGCGGGCAAACAAATGGGCGTAAAGCTAACAATGTTCGAGTTCATAGGTCGCCCATAGAAAATCATAGAATATAGTTAAAGCGACAATTATAATCGCTTGTATTTATACAATATATATAAGCTTATATAGAAACTAATACATTTGCTAGCCTGTGTTTAAGTACACTCAAAGAAAATTGGCGATAGTGAGAGAAGTATCAATATAAATAGCTAGATTAAATGGAAAATTGTTAAGAATATAGAGATCCGGTACATATGTCTAAAAATATGCTTAACTACAATCTTCTGGGCTTCTACAATTAAGTAAAATGAGATCATACTTTAAGATAACTATACACACTTGATGTTTACTAAACAACTAGTGCTCAGTGCTAGTACTTAATGCACAAATAGAATTGCTCCCAATCGCATCTCGAAGTAGAGCAACTGATAGTCACTGCAGGGTGTCTTACAGTCTATCATACAATAGTAGCACAATTACAGTTTAGTTTTCACTCGAATCCATTTAGTCTGTTGGCCATTGTCATGGTTGGTTGCCACCCGAATCTGGATGCGTCTAAGTCCAACTGGCAGCTTTGCGCTGGACTGTAAAATATATACTTATACATATATATATATATATATATATATATGTGAGAGTGTGTGAACTGTAGCACTTTGAAGGGGCACTCCACTTGGCTCTCAATGCCTCTCTTTTTTCATTATCCGTGAGTCATGCGTTGACGTATTTCTCATTATTTTTTCACATTTTTTTCCCAGTGCTTACATCATGGCAAACAATGCGGTTCGATACTTTGTTATCACTCGGACATGACGACAAGCGGGCAAGTTTGATAATACACATAAGTTAAGTTGACGCTCGTGACCACGCCCCAGAAGGCAGCATTACTTGTACGCCCCATTTTTAAGTACAAACCAGCCGCTTATCAGAACACAAATACCACATATTTTAGCTAGATATAAGAAGGAGAACAAGTCCACTTAGACTTCGAGTGGTAGTATAACATAAGCTATCTTTCTCTCGCTCCCACTCTAATATTTACTTGAACTATTTTCCGGAATTTTTGCCAAAAAAAGTGCGTCTGGCATAGAGTTTTAGTTGCTTATCAGCAAAAGTCCGCTTATCGCACTGTTTACGTAGCAAATACTCTATATATTTATATATATGCATATATATTATATAGAGGTGTAGCAGGGTCTATGCTTGGCACATTACATAAGTGCGAAAAAGGGAAGCTGCGCATGTAATCATATTCTATATGGAATTGTACTGTAATTCAAGAAAACAACTAAAAATGTTGTAATTTAGAACTTACTTTTTTTCGCTTTCCAGTTATTTCAATCAATCAGTCACTATATATACAGACAAATATATACATATTTGACTTTAGACTATGAAAGCGAGTGGATATGCCCAAGTACAGTTCCTGTAGCTTTCATTTAGCCTGCATGCGCTGCTAAGCAGTTAAATTGTAATTGCTGTAGCCATTAGATACACGTATATGTATGTGCGTGTGTGTGTGTGGTAACCAGTAAACGTGTTTTCCACAATTTGGCATGACTATTTGCTAACTAGGTCAACTTGATTTGCTTTGATTTTTGTTTTTGCAGCATTTGCGCGTGCGCGCCTCATTATTAAGGCAAAAAGAAACAAGTGAGAGAATGGAAAGCTTAAGTACAATATAAAAGGAAAAAATAAACTAAAAAGCAATAAAAAAGGATTATAACCTAGCGCAGTTAAGAAGAAAATACCAAAACTGGCACTCTTATATCGATATGCGATCCGCAAATGCAACCCCCTTCTTTTAACTTTCCTATTGGAAGCAAATGAATCAGACGATTTATCGCATACCAATTGGTCATGAGCTAACTTTATAAGCGAATTCATAAAAAAGTGAATGTGCAATGCAGGTCGTGCATTGTATCGTTTAAATATGCATGCGACAAGTGTGACCAAAGGTTTGGCTGATTAAATACCTTCAATAGCTGGACGAATCGAAACAAGAGACAATTATATATTACATATTATATATTATATATATTAGTTATAGCCGTCGAATGCGACTTACCCTTGACAACTGGGTCCTGCACAAGTGTCATTTCCTCTTGTGGTATCATTTCCATGAGACGCGCTATATCCTTGGCCAACATATTATCAACAATGTCGAGCAGATGCGGTTTCAACGAATGGAATTTGGTGAAATCCTGATGTTGCAGTACCTCTTGCATCTTTTTGATGTCTGGGAAATCACCCGGCGATATGGAGTGTTCACGCTGTATTCGATCGTACACCTGTCCCAGATTCTTGATCAAATCCTTCTTTTTGCTATCCTTGCCAAACACCGAGGGCATATCCTTGCGCAGCTCCGCAATAATAAACGCATGCACCTTGGCCAACCTCGCGCGCTTGATCAGATCGTTGAGCTTGCGCAGCGCTGCATTACGGGGTAGCGATTGCAGATCCCGGAACAGATCTTGTTCCTCATCCTCGAAGAGCCGACGATTCGCATCGAAGCGCAGCGGCTGGTCCCAAAAACTTCCTATGTAGACGCGCGCCACCTCCGGCGTCTGCAGCACTTTGCCCAGCGACCACATCAGCGCTCCATACACCCGCATCAGTTGCTGATGATCGATCATATCCGCTTTGTTCAATATAATTCGTATCTTGTCGTCGTGCCCCTTGAGTGCTTCAATCGAACGCCGGAACTCGTCGGATATATCCAATTTGTGCGCATCGAAGAGCAATATAATGCGATCGACACGCTCGGCAAACCATTCCAGAACACCTGTGAAATCGTAGCCACGATCGATGCGTTGCTTCTCGCCGGATAAAATGCCAGGCGTGTCAACAATCGAGATGGCATTCAGGACAGGCGATGCTACGCTGGAGCATTGGAAACGATTCAGAAATGCATTGCCATACTTAGATAGTGGGCGGAACTGTTTCTTAGGATCAACAACAAGCGCATTGCCGGGTATAACGCCCTCCTTATCATCATACATAACGGCTATGAAACGATCCGTTGTTGGCTCCGGTCCGATACGTATGCCGGGGAAATCGCGTTCCAATAGATACCGTATAAAAGTCGTCTTGCCCGTTGAATATTGACCGACTAGCAGTATCATGGGTTTGGCATCGAAATCAGGATCTTCCAGTTTGGGCGAATGAAAATCATGGAACTGATAATGCTCTTCCAGCGGCAACAGTTTGCTGCGATATATCTTTTTCAGTTCGCCGATAACATTTTCAACCACCTCTTGGTTCTTGGTCTCGCGTTTTAAAAAACTAAACATTTTTGGCTAAATACTCTCACGCAACTATTTAATACAAATTTAGTAGCACAGTTAAAAAGGCAGAGCAAACAGACAGTGCAGACAGAGCGGGCAGACAGACGGAAATTACTGCAACGACGACAACTTTATTAAATATATATATGTGTACGTATATATTTTTATTTTTTTATTTGCTTATGCGTATTCGGGTATTAGAAATATATATATATATATACATTCAATAACTGAATATTTTTATATATTTTATGCTATGTACACTCGATTTTTTGTCAGCCGAGACGTCGCGTATGATTCACGCGCGTTCGTATTATTTTTGGAATATGTGTAACAAAAAATGTTGGTTTGGTGCAAAGCGACGACGACGACACCAAGGCTGCAGTTCCAACTCCAAGTGAACTATTGTGTCTATCGATTTATCGCACCGATATTGCGATGTATGTCCATAGGGTTGCACATTATTTGCAAACGATTTGTTTATTCGATCAGCGTCTGAAACTGTTCACACTTTAAAATTTCCGCATCTGATTGACTTCAATTAAGTATAAAATTGTAAAGCTTAAATAATTTGACCTAAGACGATTTGAAAATATTTCCAAGGCACCAAAGGTAATTTTGAACCGGCAAAGTGCTGTATGTCAGCAGACAATTTTGTTCGCGCAGCAGTACAAACAAAATAAATCTTAGGTTTTACTATTTCTATATATTTATAAATTTTAGTTATTTTAATTACGTATTTGTACATAAATATTTATATCTATATTTTATATTTATTTATATTTTTCAAACCTTAGTAGCACTGCTTTACCCACAATCATCGTTATCGTTCACCTGATATGGTCACCTTAAGTGGGTTGCTAAGTGTTGGAGAGCGCAATCACAAGACAGCTGTTTCGTTTTGATTTTCAGTCGTCGGAGAGCGCACCGTAAGGTACATTCGTGTGCAGCGGACGGATAGCGAAAGCGAATTTTGTTGCTGCATGCCAAAGAAAAAGAAAGCAAAAAGTGAATACATAATTTACATAAAACGTATGAGCTCTAATCAAATGCGTAACAGCTAATAAAATGTAGCTTAATCCGTTTAGATTTCAAAGATATGCACAGACGTGGTGGTGCGAGTCCGCATATGTGTGAGTGTGTGTCAGCATGTGCTTGTGTGCGCGTGTGTGTATAGATATTGCACGAATCTCAGCCTTAAGGCGCGCATCAACAAGAGCAATAAAATCTATTTGAGTAATTAATCAATTGAGCAACTTTTGCAAAAATGTTCCAAATTGCAACAACAAGAGGGCAACAACAATTTAAATGCAGCAGCCGTTACGCTGCGCATTGACTTGGACTTGGACTTGGGAAGCCAACTGAAAAATCGATCAACGTTCAACGATGCCGCCAACAGCAAAGGCGAAGCCACAAACGAAAACATTGCGCACTTGCAAATTCAGCCAAAGGTGAGATGAAATGCCAAAATAGCAGACACAAATTCTCCATCAATTAGCACAGATGCCATTCAAATGGCAACAACAACAAAAACAATAACAAGTACGAGCATTTTCGGTATTATGAATGTCGCTTCGATTTCGTAACAATGAAACAGTAAATAAATAAATACAAACATACCTGTTTCAGCGGTATACAAAAAGCTGCTACAGTTACCGCCTCTCTCTCCCGTGCTCTCTCTCTCACTGTCTGTCTCTCTTTTAACCGCAGTGTCCGCTTGAGTCAAGTACAATTGCACTTAAATACCCTTTACGCGTGCGTTATAAAAATCAGGCATATTGTACTTCTAGCAATGAAGTGTAAAAAATTATGAAATAAACATAAATCTTAAATATAAACATAAATCTTGTTCGAATAATAAGCGCCCCAATAAACTGACCAAATAATTTAGAGGCCCAACTGAAATATTTACTTTTAATAAATATTAATTTACTATATTTTGTAAATATACTATATATTTAGATTTTGCTCGTTTGTTATGCAGCCCCTAGTTGTAGGCTATATATATTAGTTAAAATAAATATGTAAGGGCATTGCTAAATGCAAGCAGAGCAATGGTTAAAGGGCATCTTGTAGTTGGATACTTTTAGCTTTATAGCTCTGAGCTCTCTCAATGCTCGATCGATATCCTAGCCTTAAGTGAATATGCTTATATGGTAGATTACAGGGTATCCTTAGGCCGCTCCTACTTCTGCCTCAATCGATATACAAAGTTCAAGCACAAAGTCAAATGTTAGACCCAAATCCACTTGGGCTTCAGCTCCAGTTCAAGCGTCATCAAGCGACGTCCTCAATAGAAACAAACAAAAAACATAATAAAAAAATTACTTTTGTTTTTTTTACTATTTATGGAAATTCGATTGATTTCATTAACCGAAAATAAATTTAATGTTTGTCATTGTGGAGGGAAGAACCAAAAAAAAAGTGGAAATGCTGCCATGACATTTGAGGGGCGTGTCTCAAGGGGCGTTAAGAACACGCGCTGCAATCAATTACGATTTTCATTGGATGGCAAACGACATTTAATGAGCTATAGATAGAGACTTGCCGATATAGCTCAGGGGGCGGGACGCAGTGAGCAGTTAAGAAAAGAAAATGTGGGAAATGGTTTAATATTGAATATGGGTATTATTCTATAGAGATAGAGATATATTTTTTACATATCTATGTATACTACTTGACCTATCTATCAAAGCTTCTCATTACCAATAGGAACTACATATATTATATCATATCCTATCATATCATTTTCTTTCCCATACTTTCTCTTATATCTATTAGTTTCTCTCTTCTTTACTTACTTGTGTCCACAGATCTATGACAGCTTACAATTGCTCATACTCGCTCACTAAGTGACAAGAGAGTATATATCTGGTTATATAACTATAGAAACGTCCAATGGCAGGCGTGAAATGTCGTTAAGACGTAAAATGTGACTGATTTAATGCAGCTGATGGTTCTACTGTATACTATATATGCAGCCCTAAAGTATAGTTTCTGTAGTCTTAGAGCTAGGATCAGCCAAGTGTGAAACTTCCCTAGAGACTAACCTACAATTCTATACCTTATATTTAGCGCTAAATAACTTTTCGATCATCATTGTTTATCTATGCTAGAAATTCTAATTAAATTTCTAAAACGATTCTTTTCCTTCGTCAGTTCCCTATGTGCATTATCTATGCTACAATATATCATCATTGCATTCTAATTTCATCCATCATTCTTTTAGTAACCATCAATCGAAGCGAACTTAGTTTGCCAGTTTCGTGTAGTCTTGCTAGACTATATCTTGAAATTTTCTTTGGCTCTGCTGCATTAACATTCCCTTTCGCATCTATTTGACTGCCGCAAAAATATATATCATATATATATTTTTTTTGTCACGCGAGGCAGTCGCCAAAAATTTGTTTCTATTTTTATGCCGATTGACGCGAGGCCGCACGATCGCCCACATTACAAGCCAGCAAGTGAATCGAGTGGATCGGGTGGGACGGCTATTGCTAGGTGCTTAATGACAACATAGGCAGCAACTACGTGTCTCTAGGAGGCCATTGCGACGGCCCTCGTCGCGGCTCGAACTTATCGTCGGCTCAAGATGGGAAGGCTAGACGAAGTGCCGCCTTCTCGCCTTCCCTCTCTTTCTGTCTGCCTCTCTCCAGATACATCTCTCCTTCTCTCCCTCACAACATAGCTCAAAGGTAGAGTAATGCCAGGAGAGATTGTAGTTGAGTTCCAAGATATTATTTTGACTCATTCGCAGCTGGCTCACCATAAAACGTTCGTGCTTGAAAAGTAGACCTGACATCACATTTTCCTTGCCTAAACTAATCGATATACAGAATCATATATACTTCGAGAACTATTTGATATGCCTAGTACTGCTAATCGATTGATATAATCTCAACAATCATGCGCTATATATATATATATATATATATATATGTGTGTGTTTGCTATACATGCGGAAATGAACGTGTTATTCTACAGCAGTAGGTTCAAGTTAAACAAGTAACAAAACTCTAGTCGGGATGCCCGACTAGGAGATACCCTGATTGCAGTCCTATCTGAGTTCTTTAATAATTTCCATAGCTTGTATCGAGTATTAAAAACAAAAAAAACGATTTAAAACTGACAATACGACTAAGATTCAAACCAAGATTGCCTTTGAAACGCGCATCAACTCTACCTACACCTGCACTTCATAATTAAAGCAAAAACACCCCTTCCATCCCTGACATCGAATCCACTTGATTCCAATTTTCAATGCGATCATTGTATAAAAATGTTGGGAAAGTTTTAGTAAAATTCATTGCACTGTTATGAAGTTTGATAAGATATTTACCAAAAAAAAAAGAACACGAATTAATTAATTAGTTCTACTACCATATTGTCATACAGTGTGCACTCCTTTTAACGAAAATGTATGTTAGAGAAATTTTTATTTTACTTCACTTTGAATAAAATTAAAATTTTTGAGATCAATATCAAAATTGATCAAGATTTCAACAGAGTATAAACAGCTGTGCAATACTCTATCAATTTTCTATATCTAAATATAATATATAAATAAAAATAAATGTGCATTCCTTCAGTCCGAAACTCTTCTGTTTCAGCCAACAACTTTTACCATTTGAGTTTTTTGGATGAAATGTGGATTTCAAAAGGCTGTAAACGACTGCGTATTAATCAAGTCTACTCTACTCTATTTATTAGTCTATCCATATTATAACAAGTTAGGCAAAAATGTTAAAACTGTCTTTATTTTTATATATTTATAATTCAAGCGATGTTTCACTGTGTCCCTATATACACACTGCTATATTTTCACCTATCAATCACTGTCTTCCAGATGGCGCTATAAAAGGGCTAGCCCAGTAGGCATTTGCTAGCAACTCAGCCGTTGAGTAAGGAAAATGTCAAAAATGAGAGGTAATTGGTCCAAGAGACTGATCGATCGACTTTGTTCTATATCGCGCTCGCACTACTTGTAGGTCGTGTACTGATACCATTACCCAATACGGGGGCAATGGGACGTAAACGCAACAATTTCTATATGCGCAGCATTTTCATCTTGGCTCTGTGCATCTTCGGCCTGCTGCAGTACCACAATTTTAACTACTGTAAGTACCGTTATAAGTTGGCTTAGCGATTGATTGATAACCAGTTGCCGCCCGCACAGTGGACAGCCGCGATGCAATGCTCAGCGAATCGGTTACCAACGACTCCGTGGATGCCATAATGTCCATGGTTCCGGCCACGCTGCACAAATACCTGACACCACACACGCGCAACCACAGCGTCTCGTCAGCAGGTGAGTAATTGATTGAGTGAGCAGCGGCAGAAGTAAAGTTAAAAGCAAGAGAGATGGAGTGCGGCAAGGACTAACTGATTGACTGATTGAAGAGGGGCGAAAGTGGCAGGAAGGAACAGTTGATTGAGTCCATCATTGACTCCAGTTCATGCTGAGTGATTGACTGACATAAGCTAATGACTGATTGATGATAACATAATGCTTTGATTGATGAACGGCAGCTGATTAACTGCTTGATTGATAACAATAAACTAGAGAGCACCAGGTGATTGACTGACTGACAGATGCTATGTAAGAGCTACGCATTAGAGAGTGACTGATTGATTGAGTGATGCAGCAGTTGACTTACTGATTGACTGCTTGATTGATGACAGCTTAATAGACTGATTATTGACTGAATAACTGCTGATTGACCTCTTCACTGGTTGATTGACAGCGACTAATGCTTACATTTGATTGATGAGCAGCAAATGACAGATCGACTGAATATGTAGAGTGTTTGATTGATTAAGCATAAGAGGCAGGCAGCTCAATCATTAATTTTTCCGGCTTCTCTCTCTCTCTCTCTAGGTGTCCAGCTGAATAGCAGCGGGTCTGCGATGGTCGGCTCGGGCAGTGGTTCGTCGACAACAATTAGCTTTGAGGTCTATCGTCCGCCGAACAACACGGAGATCAAGCGTCAAATAGCGAGATACAACGAAATGCAGCTGGTGCTAAATGAGGAGACATTCGGGCCGCTGCAAAACGATTCTGTGATAATTGTCGTACAGGTGGGAACGTGAATGATCGATGGCGGATGATCGATTTAATGATGAGTGAACATTTTGAATTTACAGGTGCACACGCGCATCAATTACTTGCGCCATTTGATTGTGAGTCTGGCGCAGGCGCGCGACATCTCGAAATCTTTGCTGATCTTTTCGCATGACTTCTACGACGATGACATAAACGATCTGGTGCAGCAAATCGATTTCTGTAAGGTGCTACAGATCTTCTATCCGTACTCCATACAAACGCATCCGCACGAATATCCAGGCGTCGATCCCAACGATTGTCCCCGGAACATCAAGAAGGAGCAGTGAGAGCAGCCGTCCAATGCCAAGTGAATTTAATTCGCAACTTAATTTGCCTTTTCAGAGCTCTGATCAGCAACTGCAATAATGCACTATATCCCGATCTCTACGGCCATTATCGTGAGGCCAAGTTCACGCAGACGAAGCATCATTGGTGGTGGAAGGCGAATCGAGTGTTCAACGAGCTGGAAGTGACACGCTTTCATACCGGTTAGCCATGACCGAAATCCCAATCAAATATGTTTAACTTATTCAGGGAATCCTATTTTGGGGTCAGGTCTCGTTTTGTTCCTGGAGGAGGACCATTATGTGGCCGAGGATTTTCTCTATTTGCTGGCCATGATGCAGCAGCGCACTAAAGACTTGTGTCCACAATGCAATATCCTCTCGCTGGGCACCTATCTCAAGACATTCAACTATTATACGTACCACAGCAAGGTGAGAGCCGACCTAGTGCATAATTATGCCTCACATCTCTCTGTGCTTCTTTGCCTTGGCTACGAAATTGTCGTTAGTCGCTTAGTCGCTCAACAACAACAACCACAACAACAACAAACAAAAGCTGCTTCAAAAACAAACATTTTAATATCTTTTATTTACTTTTTGTTTATTAACAAAAAAACAAAAACAAAAACAAAGCAATTTTCCACGCTTATGCCAATATAATTGTTATTATATATACAACTGTTTAAACATTAAGTACACATCATGTCAAGCAGTAGGGCTACAAATATATATATATATAAATCGGTTACAGTGAAAGCTCGTTGGAGCGATCTCAGTAGTATAAATGTTTAAGGCATTTTATATCTATGTCCTTGTAGTTAGTTAGCTACTCGACTAACATAGGCACTAATACACGGTTCGTTTGTAGAGCTTTCACTGTACTTCACACACAAACAGTGGCGAAGAATATAATAGCACCACACATTTTGTAATGATTTAAATTTTCGATATATCCTTACCCGAAATGTAATTCTTATCCTAGAAATGTAATTAAATCAGTGGTGCTATTATATTTTTCGGCTCTGTGCATACATACATAGATGTATACATACATACATAAGGACATCTCTATGTAACTCATTTGGCTCTGAATATGTATGTTGTACATATGTATGTTAACTTCTATCTATAAAGTTTTCTAATACACACACACACACACACATGAACACCTGCATTTGCAATTCATATTCGTATCTAAATATCATCTTATCTCTCTGCGTTCTTCTCTACTTGATGCAGACTAACAAAAAATCGTATGCTTCCTCGCTGATCTCGTCAAACAGTCTATTAGGATCAAATAGGAACAATTACAATAACAACAATAACAATAATAATAATAGAATTTCACAGCAATTAACTGCGTCCTCATCCGCGCTATCATCCAGCACTTCATTAAAGAACGCCAAGGTCTATGTGGGCGACACCTCAGACGTTGATAATAATAACAATAACAATAATAAGAATAACAAAATGATGAACAATAAAAGAACTAGCCACATGAACACTGTCACCGCCACATCCAACACTAATAATAATAACAATGATAATATCAATAAGAATGGTGCACAAACTTGGAATTATCATGTACTGCCGTCATTGTATTCCGTCTATCAGAAGGTAGCACCATCCTCGATAAAAAAAAACGATTAATGTTTATATACTTAATTTAAAATTCAAAGCGAATTCAGCACCCTCAAATCATTGCTATAAAGTAGAGAGCACATTTTGTTTGTTTTTGGCTTTTCTATTGGCATGTTAACCAACTAAGTGTGATACGTAATGCATGTTACCGTTACAACTTCATTTTGTTTATATTTAACTTTGTTGTTGTTTCTCTTTATGTTGTTATTCTGTGAATGTGTGCTTGCCGCTCTCTTTGTCTCTCTCTCTCTGTGTGTGTCTACGTCTATTGTGGCATGTCGTTAAATTCTACAAACACATACAAACTCACATACACGCACACGTACGTACTCAGTTGCGCGCCCGCGTAAGCGTCGCCAAGCTCGATAGGCGCAGCGTCGTCCAAGACTATCGCAAGGTAGTAAGCGTTAAATATATCGTTAATCGTTTATGCAAATATATGCATATTGCAAATTGCCTAATACTACCATTAACAGTTTTTAGAGATGGCCTCATGCACCATGCATTCATCAGTAGCATTACAAGTCTGGCAATGCTTATCACCATGCACTGTGTATTGGGCCTATTTGGCAGGAAACTCTAAATTGATTAATTTTTTGCTTAAGTTATAAAAAAATGTATAATTGTATATTCTTTATAATTGTTTTTACATATGTGTTATGTATCTATATAATAATTTGCATGTACACAAAATATTTCTTGCTTCACTGTTCGCCTCGAGTTGAAATGTTGTAACTATCACTAATGCCCGTTTCATTTTCACGTGTTCCCTCTCCATAGGTGGAGTCCATGCCCTGGATCAGCAGCAAACATAACATGGGCTTCGCCTTCAATCGCACCACTTGGACGAGCATCAGGCGCTGCGCTCGGCACTTCTGCAGCTACGATGACTACAACTGGGATTGGTCGCTGCAGCATGTATCACAGCAGTGTTTGCAGAGGAAACTGCACGCAATGATTGTTAAAGGGCCGCGGGTCTTTCACATTGGCGAGTGGTATGTATGAAGACGTACCTAGAGAGATAGTAATATATCAACTAAATAAATTTTTTATTTCATGACAGTGGCGTTCATCACAAGAATAATAACTGCGAGTCCAATCAAGTGATTTCCAAGGTGCAGCACGTCTTGCGCATTGCACGCAACTCGCATCAGCTCTTCCCGCGTTCGTTGATGATGACGGTGCCCAGTTTGATAAAAAAATCGAAACTACGCAAAGGCAATGGGGGCTGGGGCGATCTGCGGGATCACGAGCTCTGCCTCAATATGACGTTGCCAAGGAGATAAAGCTATAGATCACCAAAAACACAGATTCTAATCATAGCAAATTAGCCTAGTTACTAGCTTATAGTTATGTAGTAAATCATTTTAAGTAGCGCTAACTCTTATACATATATAAAGCAGAAACCCCAGATGAAAGATGAAGCAACTTCAAAAACTACTCGAAATCGAAATCGCAATCAACGCAAACAATTCGCATAAAATTGAAATTTTTATACAATAAGAAATCAAAATTCAATTCAGCACAATTTATATATCTACTTAGATATATATATATATGTATATATATATATATTTATATATATATATATATATTCTCTAGTCAGATTTTGTATAGGCCAACAAAAAAACTAATTAAATTTTCAATTGTGCCGTTTTATTTAAGGCTTCAAGTCGAGCATTCCCGACTTGTATACTCTTATCTGGTTTTTATTTAGGGTCCGTCCAAAACTAAAAAAATCAAGACGCCTAAAAATATCATTTCGTATATTCCTGACTTGCATGAGATCCTACAAAATATATGTATATCCCCCAAATGTGCCGAAGTCAAATTTTGAGAAGAAACAACTAAAGAAACCATAATGCATTAGCTAGTCATATATAAACACAATATATTCTGAATAATACGCAGAAATCTATACAAACAAGATATATATACATATATATTATAAAGTAATAAATGAATAAACATTTTGTAGGTAATATAAAGCATGTAAATAGTTCCAACTTTGTTGTATAGTTTTTACTTTTCACATAAGTTCTCTTAATATATAAAATAATATTTTATAAGTATTAAATTTATGTGCATAATTTGTTATTTTTAATTGTTAGTCCAAAAGGCGCTTTTATCTATTAGGATTTATAATAATAAAATATAATAAAATAAATGCTAATTAAAAAAAAGTAATTTTATAATAAAATGTTTCTTTATTTACTTAATATATTTATGTTTAGTAAAATAAACAAAATTTGCAAAATAAAAAAAATTTTCAAGAATAATTCAGATTTGCTGACTTTTTTTTAATTTATTTGTTGAAGCAAGCCATTTTTAATTTAAAAAGTAATCTATTAGTTTAATTATTAATTTTATTATTTTTCAATGCAAGCTTAAAATATTGTTAAATATTAAGTTTGAAATGAATGAAAATAGCAAATGGGAAATAACAAACAACAAACAACTTTACCAAGCACAATTAACACCGAATTAGATTCACATTGAAAGTTTTCAAGTTATTTTGACATTTTGAATTTTAGCGCTCTGTGCAACAAATGTCACTCACTTTATAGTGTTGTACAACGTTAAAAATTGACTTACACATATTGTTAAGCAGATTATCAAAAATAGTAATAAAAATAGGAACACAATGCATGTTTGCATTTAATTTTCTTTAACATTTTTGTTTTAAAAATGTAAATATTTTATACTATTATAAAAGACTAAATTAAAATTGCAACCCAGTTCAGGAAATATTTTGAATAGTCCACTGTCTAAAAGCTTTTGCGATGAGGTAAAGCTTGCGCTTAGTTGGAAACGCACCGCTGGAGCGGCAAGACACAATAAGAATCATTCTAGGCGTGCAGTAAAACTCAAAATTGCAATCACAACTTTAAGGAAAAAACTGCAATATCTACCGCTAGTTTGTTTGTAATTAAATTCTCGCAATCATGAGCAAGCAACTTACTCGAAATGTTCGCCAATTGAAGACGCTGCTGCCAGTGGCAACGGCTAACGCAGCAGGAGGCACGCACAACAATTACTTCACCTATGTGAATGAACTGTCTCATCCGCTGCCACGCGAACCGCCAATTGTGTCGGCCGAGGAAGCTGTTGCCTGCATCAAGTCTGGTAAGTAAGCTCCGCTGTAATACGGAAAAGTCTGCTGCCGCTTGAAATGCCCAATTTTCGCCCATTCTATGAGCTAGCATAGCGGAATGCTAAAACGACTGGGTTATGTAATGTGCCAGCAACTACCGTGATTGCTGTTTTCCTCCCCCCATAGGCAAACTGGCCCGAGTTGACAGCTCAGAAAAACAGAATGAAAATGCGAACAGCCAAAGTTTACAGCAAAATGAAGGGCCACGGGGGTTGTCACTAGCGCATGCAAATTTTGTTATAAAATATGTGTGTATGGATGTATGTGTGTTTGTTTGTGTGGCGTTTGTAAATCTAAACTATTTACATATTTATTTGTGTGCATGCGTGCGTGTTTAGGTACACAAACAAATCAAGTAGCCAATTACAGGGTGCTCTGTAGCAGGCGCCATATAGAAATCAATTGACCGTGATTAGTCCTACGATTAGACAATGAACATATCAGTAATTTATGACCAACCCCCACGTATGCCGAATACACTTTTCTAATCTATACATAATGTATGCATAATTCCACTCTAGATCAGCAGATAGAAATATCAGTTGTTTTTTCTTTCGTTCTTAGAAAACAGTGTTGAACACTATTGAATAGTGTCTTGTACTTTGTACTCTGCCCAGCTGTTCAGCTTTGTACGAGAAAAGCTCAACTTAGAGACGCACACATACACATAGGCAGGCACACATGTACACATACATAAACATATACATAACACAGTTGCGCGTCTGGTCTGCCTGTTTACAGCTGTGCTGATAAGAACGAAATTAATAACTATATAAACTGAGACTGCTTTAATGAACACATGCATGTCGGACATTATGCAACAACATCAGAATTTGCTGCTGTGCGGCATTCGCATTCGCATTAGCATTTTATTGGCTGCTTCCATGTGGGCGGTGCCATAGCTTTGATAACATACAGTTCCCAATACGAAATAAATTGCTAAATTGTTGATTCTAATTTGGCTTTGATTGAATTAATTCCAATCGACAAGTTGCGCAAGAGCCAAAAGCACAACATTTCTCCCTATCTTTAAAACCTTTATCAATCCTAATGAAACTAGTTATTCAAGCTAGCCACGCCCACCACCAAGATGTACAGTTTATTTACGTTTTAAGTCGAAGTTGTATAGTTCGCACTCGGACTGACTTTTCTTCTTCTTTCATTTGCGATCTAACGCTGGTTAGCACTGGCGTTCTAAATTTAGATCAATTTGCAAAACACGCGCAGAACTAAATCAACTACGTCATAACGTTTGGAAAAGTTTCTCTTTTTGTTGTTTTTATTTTTTTTTTAAATTCATTTTTGTTTTTTGTTACGCGGCATCGTTCGGTTCGATAACATTTTAAGGCAGGTACGCAGCTGTTACGTATGCGATTGCATGACATGCGTACAGGGCTTATTCGATAAGCTTGATTAGGAGGAACATAAACAACTTATTAAATGTAAATAGTGTTTGTTAATCTTATCAAGTAATTGTAGTTTATCTAAATGCATATTTGAATAGATTTATATACACAGTACACACACACTGTCATTTTTGCTTGCATATAATATCAAAAACAAGGAAGTGCAGCTTCTTGACAGAATTTTGCATCGGTAGGGCGCCATATAAATAGAAATTTGGCATGCCTACAGCTATACATACATATGTAAATGTAAATATATATCATATGTGTGTATCTGTGCATATACTGTAAGTTCGCTGATCGTTTGGACGATTAGCAAGGCCAACTAGACGTATCAAGTACAGTGCGCACTCTTTAAACTTGACAACTAAAAATGTAGTTTCCTAGACCATATGATTGAGGCTGTACCTGGTTCATCAATCATTCAATCAGCGAACATTTATTGAAATATAACTGAATAAAGTCAATCAGTAAATTCTAAAAAATATAGCTACTAGCAGAGTAATCAGTCAATCAGCATCAATCGACCATACATTACTAAGTTATTGTATCAAATTAAAGTAGTTTATGATGTATCCACTGCGGATGGTAGTCCATCAATCAGGAATTCAATCAATCATATTTATGAATTTTATAGTTTTTAGGTGATCAATCAGGATAATCAATCAGAGCATGAATCCCTCGAGGCGTCAATCAATGAGGTTATCAATCAATCATAAATACGAGTCAAGTTTCGACTTTTATCAATCAGAGTATCAGGGTATCAATCACACAGGGCATCAATCACATTTATGAAAGACTGTCATCAATCAATGCCAATGTATTCTAATCAATCTCCACTTGAACGTACTTTGTTTCACAGGTGACACAGTCTTCGCGCAGGGAGCTGCCGCCACGCCTGTGACATTGCTTAACACCATGTCACTGTATGGCAAGTGCAACAAATTGAAGGACGTAACGGTCTGTCATATGCACACGGAAGGCCCAGCCGAGTACTGCAAGCCGGAGTATGAGGGCATCTTTCGTTCAAACTCCTTCTTCATGGGCGGCAATGTGCGCAAGGCCGTTGCCGAGGGACGTGGAGATAATATGCATATCTTTTTGCATGAAATTCCTCAGCTCTTCAGCAAGAAAATAGTTCAGCCCGATGTGGCCTTCATACACGTGTCGCCGCCAGATAATCACGGCTTCTGTTCGCTGGGCACCAGCGTCGATTGCGTTCGTACAGCGTTGCAGCATTCCAAGAAGATTGTTGGTAAGGAAATTAGTTATTATATATCTATAGATATATATATATATATATATTATATCTTTACCTGTATGCTTGCAGCTCAAATCAATCCCAACATGCCGCGCACCTTCGGCGATAGTATCATACACAAGTCGCACTTCGATTTCGCCATTGAGGTAAACGATAAACTACCTCAGCATGGCACCGGCAAGCTTTCGGATGTGGAGCAAAAGATTGGCCAATTGATAGCTGAGAATTTGGTGAAGGATGGAGCCACACTTCAGATGGGCATTGGCAACATTCCGGATGCCGTACTAAACGCCTTGCACAATCACAAAGATCTGGGCATACACTCGGAGATGTTCGCCAATGGTGTCGTAGAACTGGTCAAAAAAGGTTGCGTGACCAACAGCAAAAAGACTATGCACAAGGGACGCATTGTCGGCTCTTTCCTAATTGGTGATCAGCCCCTCTACGACTTTGTCAACAATAATCCTTTCATCGGTAGAGTACTCAACTCATGTTAGTGATATAGACTCCATAATGTGCTGTGACCCTTTGCAGAAATGTTGGCTATTGACTATGTGAACAACACGAGTGTTGTCAAGCTCCAGCCCCGCATGACGGCTATCAACAGCTGTATTGAGGTGGATTTGACTGGCCAGGTGTGCTCGGACTCAATTGGTACGCGTTTCTATTCTGGCTTCGGTGGCCAAGTGGACTTCATACGCGGGGCAGCTGAGGCCGTTGATGGCCAGGGCGTGCCAATCATAGCCATGCCATCGACCACCAACAAAGGAGAGAGCAAGATTGTGCCTTTGCTTAAGCCAGGTAAAGCCAGCTGCGAAACCAACAGATTCCTTTGCTAATTCCTTTTTCTCCATAATCCTCTAGGAGCTGGTGTTGTCACCTCCCGTGCTCATGTTCATTACTTGGTCACTGAACATGGCATTGCCTCCTTGTTTGGCAAGAATGTGCGCCAGCGCATGTACGAACTGATTAATGTCGCCGATCCCAAGCACCGCGAGTCGCTCGAGAAGTCAGCCTTCGAGCGGATCAAGGCGATGCCCTGTGCCAACTAAGCACCACAGCATCACTGACGGCAACAGCGACTGCACCGCCTAATCCTATCTAAAGATATTTTGAAATTAGAATGGCTCAGAACATTTTCTTAAAAGCATACCCGCAGCGGTTTCCTTTTTTAGAAATGTTTTGAAACTATTTTTACATCCAGAACTTTACCCCTATATAGCTAAGAAATTCTACAAAGTGAAATCATTAAAGGCAATGTTAACTCCCTAAATTGTAAGCCTACTTATTTTATTTAACGCTGTTAAGGGCAAATAGTTTATATATATTAGTTAACTCGGAAAACTCGAAGACTATTTGTAACAAGATGTGGGATCGAAGACTATATCTAAAAGTCTGATCCAATATCTCATTCCGTAGATTTGAAATTTATCTTCACTAAAATTTCGATTTGTAAGGAATAAGCACAACTGTTACATAAAATGGACGCTAGGTGGCGCATTTTCATGCACACATGCCAAATGGCTGGACACTCCTTAGAAACTTGCAATTTCAATTTAGAACAATTAGTACGTAAAGTGGACGTTAGGTGGCGCTCTAGCTTTAACCAAATAGTTAAGAATGTCTTAGTTACGTTTTTTATAAGTTTGTGTTTATTTTTTGTTGTTGATGTATAAAAATTGAGTACAGCTTTAAGAGTTCAGCTTGAATTGAAGTTATTTTTGTTTTGTAAAGTACTTATATACAAATATGTGCTTCAAATAGGGTTCACTATTCGCTGGTGTTCACTGTTCACTGTTTACTGTTTACATAACTTGGCTTATTGCATAGGTGTTAGTCGTCTGTATACATCATCAGTAATCATAGTACTTTAGTAAGTGAATTGAATGTTGTTGCTGATTTTAAGAATCTCAGAGAAAGGAACTAAATAGTAGGTTGTAATATATATGTTGCAAGTTTTACATATCGTATGTTATGTTATGTTATGTATTGTAATTGTATTGTTTATAGGGCCTAAAACACTTTTAAAATCTACAGATTTAGCTTAGAGACATCTTTCTTCCTCTTCTTCAACGCTTGGCATTTACTTCTTCTTCGGGGTCTTGGCATTTTTGCCATCAGCATTCGGCTCGATTTTGGCACGTTTCTTTGGATGCTCAATCTCGTCGTCTTCGCCATCATCCTCATCATCCTCCTCCTCCATATCAACAACCTCAACATCATCCTTGATATTCTGGCCGTGTATATAGACGGGTCCACTGCCCTTAATCAGCTTAAACGTCACCTTGGATTCGTAGAACTCAACATCGGGATTGACTGCGCGTGTCTCGCCAGCCTTCAATACAGCAATGGGAATCTGTACAGAATCCTTCATTGTGGTCACCTGTAGCGACAGATGGGCAAAGAGATTAAATTAGTTAAAATTAAAAATGGTGTAAAAAAGTAGGAATTGATTTCTTTTTCGAAAAAAGCTCCAGGAGTCGGTTCCGTTCGACTGCAACGTTTCAACTTATAGAATTTAATTTGTATTAATAATGATATATTCACGAGTGTCGCAAGACTGCAGTGGCAGGGTGTTTGAACTTCGGTACTAGGATCGATAAGGCTTCTGACCTGTCAATCAAAGTCGAGCTGCTCCCTCCTCCTGCCCAGCTCTGTGTGAAATATCAACTTGCTGTCATATATATTATGTATAGCCGGCGTTAACTGATTTCAATCGGTTGGAGCAAACATTGAGATAACCAAAAGGTAAAAAAAAAAAAGAAAAGAAAAGATACAAATCGTAGGCGTAACCACAATAGACCTATATACGGGAACAATGCTACCTAGGCGGGCATTCGTCGCTCTGCACTGGCAGAAACAACATCGCATAGCAATTCCATACAATCTTCCACTTAAGAAGGCGAATCGGAAAGCACGTGCTTTATTTCAAACAACTTGTCGAAAAGTTTCTAATAAAAAATTCACTTAGTGTTAAGTGCTTGTCGAGAGAAACGAGTAAAGTTTAAAAAAGGTGCAAATATACGCAGACATGTGCGACTATGACGGTACGTTGCAATATTGATAAGTGAGCCATAGAAACTGAATTGAAGCCAACGCTACATGAGACAGCTTTCCGAGAAAACGGGTGGAAATGCGAATTTATAATACAAATATAATGCAAGAAATCCAAATATCAATTAATAATGTACTTCTAATATAAATATCAATGAGAAACTCTTCAAATTTGTGAAATTACCAGAGAAAACTTAGATATCCAGGAAGTGAAAGTGAAAGCATAGTTAAAAATATTTTTTTTAGCAACTTTATAACTTATACATCTGATCTATCCAGAAATTGAAGGAAATTTAACCTAAGAAAAGATTTATGTGTTTGATTTGAAGAGTGAAGGTATCCAGAAAGAGGAGTACTTAGTATCTTTGCAAGCCTATGAAGAAGCTGTGTAGTAAATTTAGTAAATTAGCCTAAGAAAATATGAGAGTTATATCCAAATGATTAAAAAACTGATATTGATTTTTCACCTATTTATCGAACACTTTCAAGGAAACTTGACAGATTTAAAGTTTTAGCCTTTCAGTAAGCTCATTAAGTAGGCAGAGAAATACGTTTTTAATCTAAAAGAATCTTCATCAAATGGATGTTTTCTATCTGGAACAAATACTTCAAACCTAAGTTTGATAATATTAATTGAAAGGAAAAAGAAACTCTCAATAAAAATTACATTACTGTCATATATAATAGTCAAGTAATTCTCATAGATAATGAGATCATAAAGATCCCATGGAAAGTTAAAAAAATAATACTCATTTCCTCAAATATTGATAACGCCCCCAACATGGAAGGCGTGAGTTATCTAAATCGTTAAGACCCTAAATAACATCTATAATGTGTCAATGGAATTTTACTAATATTTCGTATCGAATGTTATTGATATACGACGAATCTCAATCAAGACTTGAGAATCTTTAATTTGTGTCAGGTAAAACTGAACCGAACATTTTGTGGCCCACTTCAAATCGATTAAAGTGAATTCACTAAATAATATTAAAACATTGTCAACTAGATAAGAAAGCGAGCGGCGCGAAATCATTTGCGGCTTTTAATCAAAATTCAAGTACTACTCCCTCATTACCCGCTCTCCCTGCTTGTCTATCCAGATGAACTCTATCACGAGCACCTGCCCAACGTTTGCAGCACCTTGCGCGAGAAGTCCAAGAGCTGCTGCAGCATAAATGCGATTAAGCGCAAGCTGCCTATTTGCACTTGGTTGCCTGAATACACCTGGAAAATCCTTCTAGTTGATTTCGTGGCGGGTATGACCGTTGGCCTCACGGCAGTGACGCAGGCAATTGCCTATGGCGCCGTCGCCGGATTACCTCCGGTCTATGGTCTATACTCGTCATTTATGGGCTGCTTCCTCTACATAATCTTTGGCAGCTGCAAGGACGTTACAGTGGGTGAGTAAGATAATTTAACTAGACTAAAGATAAAAGAGTCAGGCATTACCGACTATATGATACTGCATAAAAGAGTTCAACTGATATGTCAAAGGCTCAATAGACACAGTGTAATCTTAATACTTATTAAGCGAGATGGGTACATGTTCCACATTTCTAGTATGACGAACATTGCCCAGAGCTAATATACTCTCTTATCACTAAAGGAGCATGTATACAAACAGACAGACCGACACTACACTGGTGTAAACAGGTTTTATTAGGCTAATCTTTGGTTATTTTAACTTATCGACAGGTCCCACAGCCATAATATCTATGATGACCTATCCACACGTAGATGGTAATCCAGACTATGCCGTCCTAATATGCTTTCTAACGGGCTGCATTGTTTTGTTGCTGGGTTTTTTGAATCTCGGCGTATTGGTGCGTTTCATTTCGGCGCCTGTGATAGCGGGATTCACTTTGGCAGCTGCCTTAACTGTGGGCAGCGGTCAGATCAACAATCTCTTTGGTATACAAAGCAAATCGAATGAGTTTCTCAAATCATGGATTAACTTCTTTGGTCACATACAAGAGACGCGGCTCAATGATGCGCTCCTCGGTTGCTGTACACTGGTTTTGCTGCTGTTAATGAGAGTAAGTGCGGGATTACTCACTGATCATCGTTAACAATATTAATTTATATTTATATACAAACAGAAACTCAAGGATCTTAAGTCTTGCGGTTGTCGTTCACTGCTCAAGTATTTATCGCTCTGTCGCAACGTTTTAGCCGTCATCATTGGCATTCTGCTCTGCTATCTGTTGAGCCGAGACAGTGAAGAGATGCCGTTCCGCATAAGCGAGCAAATATCGCCGGGCTTGCCACCCTTTCGTGCACCGCCATTTCAAACCGTAGATGAAGAGGGTCAAATAGTTAGCTTCAGCCAGATGATCTCCAACTTAGGAAGTGCCGTGGGTACAATACCCTTTCTCTGCATTTTGGAGCTTATCTCAATAGCCAAAGCATTCTGTGCGTAAGAGCATCATCTTTGATATATTGTTTATATTTATAAATTATATTTACTATTATTGTATTTGCAGCTAAGGGCAAGATTGTGGATGCATCACAGGAGATGATTGCATTGGGCTTTTGCAATTTATTCAGCAGTTTCTTCTCATCGATGCCCATAACTGGATCATTTGCCCGTTCGGCAATCAACAATTCGAGCGGTGTCAAAACTCCATTGGGCGGCGCTTTTACGGGTATTCTAATAATCTTGACACTCGCCTTTCTAACCCATGTCTTTGCCTACATACCCAAAGCTACACTGGCAGCCATCATCATCTCAGCCATGTTATTTATGGTCGAGTACGACACAATAGCTGAGATTTGGCGTGCGAAAAGTGAGTAGATAGGGCGTTATGAGATCAAAGCAAGTTTATAACTAAATCCCTAACTCTCGTCTTTATCTACCCACAGAACGCGATATGGTGCCTTTTCTGTTTACCGTGGTGTGCTGTTTGTTCTGGTCACTGGAGTACGGCATGTTGGTGGGCGTCCTAATCAATGCGCTCTTCATACTGGGCAAAAGTATGACGCCACACTTTCAGCTTGAAACACAAAAGGTACGGTTAAAAAGGTCAAAGCCATGTGAATAACAATTTCAATTTGTTACCAATTTGCCCAACAGCATAATGGCCTCGAACTATGCGTGGCAGAGTTAAAGGGCAACGTGGATTACACGGCGGCTGAATCATTAAAGATAACAACAGTAGCATTCGTGACGGAGCAGATGACAAGTGTTTCATTGGTGATCATTAAAGGCCCAGAGATCGGCTCCATTGATGCAACTGTTGCGCTGGCAAGTAGATCAACTTATACAACTTATCATATTATTAAACCATTATTTAAATTGTACTATACAGAATTTATTATCTTTGCGTGATGACCTGCAGCAGCTGCAGTGCGAGCTTATCTGTTGGAATTGGAATATTGCAGCGGCAGGCGTTGTTTGCCGGCTGCAAAGGAAGGCGCGCAACATGTTCAGATTCACCAAAAGCTTCGCCGAGCTATTAGAAATTATAGACAATGGAAGCAGCAAGAGGGACAGCAACAACTGCCACAATGACAGCAGTCAAGTTGATCAAATTTCATGACGCTTAAGTCAATAATGAAATGTGTTTTGTTTTGTACAGTTACATTAGGCGAATTATAAGTAGTCGCACCAAAAGTACCCTGTACATTGGTTAGTGGCACTACATTTACTTCCCAACAAATCTTAAAGTTTCTTGGATGTGTTTTAAAACACTATTTATAAATAGTTTAAGTATACATAAATAGATATACAGAAGAACTATATACCCTTTCAATAGTTGGTTTTTCTTTTAATTTTATACTTAAAATTTGTGAGCTAAGCTTTTATAAAATATAATAAAATATTTTTTCATATCTACATAACGACTTATATTCAGGTACACTTTATTAGAGGGTATAAAAAGCTTGAGCGTACGCAAAAGCAGACTTTTGGGCATTTGTGACGTCACGGCTATGCAAACAACGACAATCAGACAAAGGGCGCGTATTGCAGATACAGACAAAATTACCCTTTGCCCACAGCAAAATGTTGCGCGTGCTTGGAGAATTTAAACCGGTCCATGCCCCAAACACAATAAGAGATTCGCACACGCACATATTCAGGCAGACACACAAACACACACGCACACACATACTCATATTTGATTTGCACTGGCGCACTTACCTCAACCACGTTGAATTCATTATCCTTCGCCTCAGCGCCCAGCAGAATCTGCTTGATAACCAGCTTCTGACCGCGTGCATAGTCCTCATCGGCGACAACGTCCCAGGTGACGCTGTTGTTTTCCGCGCTTAGGGTGACACCTAATAAAATTATACGTATTACTCGTGGATTTACAACTACTTAAACGTTTAACCACACAGATAGTTCATATTCTTGTGTATGCATACAATATACACACATCCATGCACGAATGAACATACACATACACACTCACATACATCCGCAACCTTGAATAAAAATGCCGGCAGCCGGCAACGCAGCCGAGCACAGTGCAAATAATCCAATTGCAGCCGCTTACACAATACGCGAAAGACACGTCAATAAATGATATTTACCATAGAATGATTCCTCAGCCATTTCAATTATTTGATATAGTTTAAAATCTAAACTTCAAGCGCCGAGCACGTGTTGAGCAAAAACTTTTGCAAAATGGTAGCTACCAACTAGGGATGCAGAGTACGTTAGCGATGTGCTGGCTATGCATGTATGGCGTTACCAGATCTACCGACATTGACCACGAAATAAAATCGTAGTTATTTATTCATTTGTTATTTTATACAATGCGAAAGTTCTTAAACCTAAGCTCGGATATGTATCTAATAACTCATAATCGTATAAGTTACAAATTTTAAAATTTCTTTGTATATGCAGTATAAGCAGCATAAGCTATCGGCGGTTTAATATATCGCTTTCATCGATGAATGCCAGGCATCACTCCAGCCGCGTTTGACTCTTCAGCTATCGCCATTGCACGGGGCACGTGTGAAAAGTAGAAGTTTTCATAAACTTTTTAATTGGACTGTACAAGAACTTGTCTACGAGCATACAAATGGAGTCCGAATCTTTCTACGGTGAGGAATCAACCATAATTTTTTGAAGTCTACCAACGGCAGAGCCTAATACAATAGTTCGCCTACACAGCACTACCGGCAGACTACATACATATGTAAATGTATGTATTATTAACGGCTACTATTATTTCAGGTGTTACGCTGAGTGAAAAGGAGCCAATTGCACAGTTCGATGTGCCGGAAATTCCGGAGGAGTACATCGTTCACTCACACAAGCTGATCATCAAACAGATATCCCTGGGACCTGAGGCGAAGTCCGGCGAATTCAATGTCGTTCAGGTATGGAAAAACACTGACCAACACTTTGAAAGATTTCTGTCTGGCCAAAAGGGGGCAGAGAGGCAGTGAGAGGTTGTGCTTTAATATCGCATAACACAAATTTACTCGCACATTTGCAGGCGGAAACAAACGTGAACGATGACGGTGAAAAGAAGACAGTCAAAATTCCCATTGCCGTTTTAAAGGTCGGAGAAACTCGAAGCTTGAGACCAAATGTTGAATTCCCCAATGGATCCGTCACATTTAAGCTTGTCCAAGGCACGGGGCCGGTCTATGTGTGCGGCAAGGTAATTGTTAACTGTTAAACTCTTATTTAAATTATTCCAAAAATAATTTACAATTCTTCTCCAGGCGGAAATGAACTTGGGCGAATATGACGATGGTCAAATGTACGAGGAGTATTCGGATGATGAAGATGACAGCGAATTGGAGCCTGAGGATGAGTGCTCTCCACAGACAAATGGCAAGAGCAATAAAAAGAAGTAATACAAAGTAAAAAGAAACTAAGCTAATCTAAAACTATATAAAAGAAATGAAAAAAAAAACAATCATAATTCTTAACAGAATTCAGTAAAACTCTCTGAAACAAAAAAAAACATATTTTGGTAAAGTATGAATAAACAAAAACCAATCCAAAACAAATCGTAATGAATTAATTTTTCATTAATTGTAATACATATAGTCTACATACAATATGTTTTTTAAAGTTTTTCATATTATTTAATACGAAATTGAATTGATTATGTATATCTTTTTGAAACAAAAAAAAAAAAACATATTTTGCTAAAGTATGAATAAACAAAAAACAATCCAAAAACAAATCAAAATTAATTAATTATTCATTAATATACAGACAATATGTTTTTTGAAGTTTTTCTTAATTCGAATTTGTATTGATTTTTATCGAGGTTTTTATCTTTTTGTATTGGTCTATATTATTGGGAATTTTATTCATATTCTTTAAATGTTATACTTAATATATATAAATAATTGTGGCAGTTTTGAGAAGAATGCTCACGGAAGATAAAACAATTGTCCGCCACCATATTTTATGTTAATTACAAGCACGTGCCACTGAGATTTTTTGTCGTGGTACGCTGCAAATGCATGAGGAATCATAAAAATAAGTATGGATTATATATAGAAAATATGGTTCATCCTACCGTATATGTATAATGCGACGTCTATCGTCGCTGGGATGTATGAGATCTAATTTGTGGCTCCATTCGATTTGTTTCATTTCGTGACGCAGCTTCTTACGATCAAAATATGAAATGGCGCAACTGACGGGTATCCAGAAGACAGCTGTAACCATAACAACAGCCACTGCAAAATATCGCAAATATATATATATTATATATACGTGAACAAATGGTATGGGCCTTAATAACATTTACTTACTGACTATGTTGTCTTTGAGAAAGCGTAACGTTTTAGCAACGTTTATCTCCTCAATAATATCCCAAAAGCGTTCAACCACGTCTTGAATGGTCTTCTCGCAGACACCCTGGAATTAGATATACATATATATTAATTTCAAGATAAGAAGATGATAGGGGGAAGTGCGAGCTATCTGTATAGCTATTTCAAACTGTGCTATCGCTTCGATATAACCATTCGGGCTTGGCAACAGAGTCAAATCAACCAGAAGCTTGACTTCGTATACAATACGGAATAGTTTTTTTTTACCTTATTGCAAAAGCCAGTTATGCAGGGCGTGCCGTCGGGCAATACATCGGGTGGCTCAACTGGAAAGCATGTTTCATTTATGCTCATGCGACAGCACCGTTTGCATGCATCCACAATGATATCGCACATGCAGCTCTGTAAGCCCTGCGTCTCACAGTACGGCACACATTTGCCGTTGCGACATTGGCCGCGCTCTTGGCAAATTGTGCCGTCTGCCATGGCTGGAGATTTGGGGCATTCGGCATGGGAGCCGGTGCAGCGTGCCTCCTGCTCACAGGTGGCATATTGAGCTTCACGACATTTCATGGCCGCTGGCATGAATTGGCAATTCTGACAGCACGGCGAATTCTTGTCGCTGCACATGGCGCCTTGATTACGACGCAGCTTGCAGTTCTTGTCGCAGCACGAGTCGTTATCCTCGGTGCCCAGCAATCCGGCATCGCATTGCTCATCGCCCTCGACGCGTAAATTGCCACAAAATGATTCCTCCGGCTCGGAGAAACAGCGTCCAGACTTCGCCTGCAGAACTTTGCGTATGGAACGGAGCGAACAGGGTGAAAATTTCTACAAAAACAAACCATTATTATATATACAAATATGATTCACATAAATCACATCTAGTCACTTGCCTTGTTATTCACATCGTAACCGCTGACGGAGTAAGTGTACATTAAAAAACTGCCCCCCTGTGAGGCACTGGGCGAACACTCGGGTATATCGGGATCATGCTCCGAGCCCCAGTTGTGTCCAAATTCATGAGCAGTTACCAGATCAGCCTCGCGCGTTATTACTCGCTGGCCATAATGGTTACGTGAGCTACTGAGACCCGAGTTCAGATAGAGTGTATAACCATTCTTGAAGTATTCTTGGAATAGTTATTAAGAAAATTACATTAATTAGTATAAAATCTTATAAAATTTATAAGCTAAAGTAAATCATGTAAAAGTAAATCAAGCGAATAATACTATAGTCGAGTGCACCCGACTATGATCTACCCTGCGCAGAGCGAATTTAAAAGATATTCTGCATAAGATATTGAATCATAGAATATATATTGACAAATAATATGGTTAAGCATACCAAATCTTAATTTCCGATAGATCTATATGGATATATCTAAAGCCAGAAGCTAAGATCTCTAGCCAATGTAGTCTTAAAACCTTAATTAGCAGACAGACATGTGAACCGAATTAATATCATATAACTCTATATAACTATCAAGATCAATGTCGCTAGCTAAAATGCTCTGCAAAGGATTTCAGATTTCAAAAGAAAGACGCAAGAAACACAAGGAAACAAATAAAGGGGGCTCAGCGAAATGATAATGATAAAAACATTATTTTGCACATATAAAGATCGGATATTGTTTGCAACCTGGTGTACAGATGCCACCCACAGAATTGCGGCGTGGTGAACCGACGTAAGCCAAGCCTAAAATGCCGCCTTCGAATTTGAGATCGGTAAAGAGATGAGCTAAACAAAAGTCTTTATGGCTGTATTCCCGTGAGAAGACCTACATAAAGCACCATCAAAATTTCAGATAAGCAAGAGATGAGAGATGAAAGAGAGTTAGCAGTAGAACGATATATACAAGTTTTAGCTATACAAACAAGTTACAAAATAGTCGACTGGGCGAATGACAGTTCACATTTACCTCCAGCAAATTGCGTACGTCCCATTTCTCGCGTATCATATTGTAGTGAGCTTCTCCGCCACGCAAACGCGTTGGCTCCGAATGTACGACGATTTTCTTGATCACAAACCCCATACCTTTGAAACCTTCCTGATCGGAACGATCCTGCCATACAGTATCGTTATATATTTTGTGCACACGATCGATAAGGCTTATCTGAAAGCAAGAATCAATGCAATTAATTTATTATAAGACATGGCGGAAACAAGGGGATGTCGACGGCCAAATTGCCCAGAACTGCGAATGTCACTTACTAGGTAATTAATAGTTGTCTTTGTATTGCCACCACCCATCTCTTGAAAAAAACGATAGTCCGCCACTAGCAACAGGGGACACCTCGTCTTAGTAGGCGTGTATTCGTATTGATCGGATTGACGTTTCTCACGCGCGTTCAATTCGTTATCCTTGGCCTCGAGCTCGAGGCCCTCTTTGATATAGCCACAGGTTTTGGGCACCTGATCACCCGGTTCAGCATGATTGAATTTAACATCGGAAGATTTGTAGGCGACCATTGTATGCTTTTTGGCTGTGGGCAAGTGTCGCCAGGAAGGCTCTATGTGGTAGGTTTCTTGGGGCAGTTCTATGGACATGGTCAATGTGCCATCTTCAATATGTGCGCGTACTGACGATTCCAATTCGCCAAATACGCGACCCGTATAAAAGTTGTCATGATCTAGAATTGAAATCGCTTTAAGTTTTCTGATATCTGGAAGCTGCATAATAAGCTTACCCAAGTGCACAACAGTCTCATTGCCATCGGCATCCACGGCATAGGCACGAAATTTACTGTGCAGCACATCGCGATGTGGATGTAAAATCACGCGAAAGTTTTTCCCAAGTGTTTTAAACTCCAGCTCTTTAATAGTGTTATATGGATTGCTGCTCTGTTTAACACCCCTCTTGACAATCCGATGAACAATGTCATCTTTGTGGAAAACTTCGTAGTGGCGCAGTGTCCGTTTCAGGGCAACTGTGATTAAAACAACTCGTTATTTAAATGAAAATCAATACAGTTATATTCATTGCGATACATGCCACTGTTTTCGACCAAAAGGCATGCGAATATTACACAAAATATGATTGAAGCACAACAATTAATGCATTTTGTAAACATTTTTCGTCTCAATTGATCGAACAGTGTTGTTAAATACTTGTATTTTTAATATGGCAGGGTTGCACATTTGCCGATGACTCCGGTCTGTATCTGTTCGATAGCTCATTTTAGCGATAACTATAAATGCGATAACCGCTAAGCGCTTACATTAAATAATTTGAGTTTCACTACTAAGCAGTATGTTTGGCTTTTTCCGATCTGGAGCCACCATAATTACGTGGATCAACTGTGACGGGTATGGGCGCTAATTTAAAGTCGACACCATAAAATTGACCATTAAGAGATTTTCGTCTTGGCTTTGGCTGACTGAAAAACATATAGGTGAGTAGTCTTCTCATTAATTGAAAAAGTTAAAAATAAGTACCTGTTTATATTTGAATTAAATAAAGATACAGTGACAAAGTGTTCGGGAACGTTGTCAAGAAATTTGATGTATCGGTTACGCATATACTTATTTTGGCGTACAGATAAAATTGGCTTTAAGTGGTCCAAGTGATATTTAAACATCGGCAATATCACCCAATTTTTGTCCGGTATATTAAGAAAATCACGCGGACTAAGTGTCTTTTCGACATCTTTTTCTTTATCCTTCGGCTTAAATTCGGCAGCTATTTCCTCAATATCAAATCGAGCTGGAAAATTTGTAAACGGTTCGCAGATTGGATTAGTAATCATTTTTACCCAAAATTTGTAGAAAAAATATTTTTTACTTAAACTTGCTCTGTTGCCTACTTAGTGTCAATAGTTGAAAAATGTATAGTAATTCGGATTCTACTAAATGTTATATTTGGCTTATTTAATCAAATTGTTGTTGTGAAATTATGTCAATTTACAGGTTAACACATAAGCTTTACAATTGTATTTACTGGGGTTGGACACTTAATTTAAATTGTTGCTAAAAACGTTGATAATATTTCCATATGATAATTGAGAGTTCAATTTTATTTCATTTCTGCTCTGCAACTCCGCCATATTCATCTTAAATATGGCCGTCAATTGTATTTCTGCAATTTCGCCTCAAATATGGCCGTCGATTTCATTTAACAGCGACTTCCGCCATATTCGCCTCAAAAATGGCTGACAATTTTATTTTTGTAACTCTGCCATATTCGCCTCAAATATGGCTGTATTTATTTTGTGCTTGAGTGCGATTAAGACCTCCCTGTTGCTAATGGCACGCATCTCATTGGCCACATATTCGCCGTACGTGGCGAATTCATCCCGTTGCAGGGAATTAGCCGCAGCTAATTGCGGCGGAGGTATTGGTGAGCTGGCTGGCTTTGGGGGTGACAGCGAAGTGGCATTCACTATGGCATTGACACGTGGCAGACGCAGTGTGCCACCCGTTAGCCCGGAACTGGAGGTTGTGGTCAACACATTGCTACCATTGCCACTGCCATTGACGTTCTGGGATGCCGTTTGCAGCGTGGATGCGGAGAGAATTGTGGTGCTGTGCGTGCCATTGGGATCGAAATAGAGCCGTTTGGGTGGCGGCGGCGGGTGGAGCTGATGCTGTGCCTGCTGCTCCTCGAAATAGCCATTCTCCTGATTAGACGTATCGCGCCGTTGTATCTTAATGATACGCGTGGGCATCAATTGCACCGAGGAGCTTGTGCCTCCGCCACTGGCATTCGCTGTCGACGATGTCGATTGGTAGTGTAGCTCGCCACTTTCGTTAGCCTGAAAACTAACCGATTCCACAGCATTTGCAGAGTGATGCAACTCCATCAAGGACTGTTGTTGATGGTGATGCGGATGTGGATGTGGATGTGTATGGGGAAGGGAATGGGTATGCTGTTGCTGCTGGTGTGTGTGCGTCTCAACTGCCTCGCTCTCGTCTTCATTGATGTGCACATACGTGCCACTAAGCTCTTTGTTAAGCTTGGGTTTCGTATCAACATCCTCCTCCACACCGGGCTCTTCGTCTTCAGTATCCTCTATATCTTTGGTCGTCTCTTCGATCAACTTCTCCAGCTCCTGTGCTCGACTGCTCGCGTGTGATTTTCGCGGCGTTATTATATACTCCTCGTTCATATTGTTACCTTCCGCGGCGCCAGCAGCGTTCACTTCGCCCAATATATATTTTTGTACTGTTGCGTCTTCTTTGTCTTTGGAGCGACCTTTTGTGGAGCGACACGCAAATGGAGAGCTAAGAAAGACGAGATTCTTAAAGCCAAACCACTTTGAATTATACGGTTCCTTGCGTTTCATGCGATTTATTTCTCGGTGATATTGCGTGCGCAGTGTATGAAACTTTTTCTCCAGCTCCGGTATGGGTATATTACCGCCGAGAACGTCACTAACTTCATTTAATAGACGCTGTTTGACATCCTTCTTGCGATACTCGTCGCATGTCATGTCCCACAGTCCGCGTCGCTGTCGGTACTCGCTGATCAGCACCAATGTCTTCTCTCTGGTCCACTCCATTTTTAGATACAGCTATAGCTGGCTAAAGAGCCGGGCCACGGGCAACGGGTAACGGGTAAGAAGGCGGCTGTATAAACGATGTCACAGTCACAGAACAATGAGTTCTACGAGGCGCTCGATGTATATATATATGTGTATATATTTATGTGTGTGTGTTGATGCCGCTGCAGTTAGTTGTTGATCGCGGCGACGGTGGCTGCAGCTCCCTTTAATCGAAAACAAAATTGAAATTAGCACACGCTCGGCATGTCGGTTGTAAAGTATATAAAAATAGTTTTTAATAGCCACCAAAGCGTTTTCCTTTACCTGCAGCAACGGGCGCTCGCTAGCAGCAGCACCAGCAAATTTTGTGTTACTCCAAAAACCAATTGCAACAACAGCTGCTACATTATAATATATCTTAGTTTGTGTATTTATTTGATGAATAGCTAGCTCATTGATAACAGTAAAAGAGTTACAGAGTGTTAACCAGCAAATGCAACCCGTGTTTGTTTTTATTTATTCTTCAAGTAAAAAATTTGCGTTGTTTTTATTCTCCCCTCACACTTATACCTGGAAAACGGGAACTGCCAACTTGTAATGTTTGTGTATCTAATTGAGTATTCGCACGCATATCGATAATATATATCGGCTAGAATTATAACATATTTTTGTGAAATAGTACAATTTCTGTGTAATTGCTAATGTATTTTAATATATTTTGCTTTTTTTTATTCTGTTTGCATACTTAAATGTGGGAAAAAGTGTATCAACATATTTAGGTTTGAATTTGTTTTCATACAGATAATATGACTATCGAATGGCCTTTGATTATTCATTAGTTATTCATTATAATTATGAGGGATCATATAATTTATTTGTTTTGACACAATTTAATCAATTTATTACAAATATTTAAGGTTATTATTTATTATATATGTATTAAAGGAAACAAAAATTTGTATTCTTCATATATGTGAATATCGATAGTCAATTACGATTTGACTCGTTACATCGAAATAACATTAGAAGCATTGAACAAGAAGCCGCATATTGTTTTCAATATTTTAATAATGGCTAACGATGATGAAAACAATTTGGGCAAACTGACAGAGGAATCTTTGAGGCGAAAGGAGCGCTTGCAAAAGCTACGTGAACAAGCGCTATCCAAGACTACGGACGCTAAAGAGGGTGCTGAAAAATTGCCAAGGTAAGATTAGTAAGATAAGTACGATTTCCCTTTGTTTACATGAGAATAACATTGATTTGTTGTTTCAGGCCAGTGTTTCGCAGCTATAAGCCACATAATGAAACCACAGAGGGCGAAGTACTACCACAAGAACCTACTGGTGATATTGAAACCGCTATACAGTCGCAGCTTAATTTGCTGCAGCAGCCAATGGTTATCGATGAAATAGACATCACGAATCTGGCTCCACGCAAGCCCGACTGGGATCTAAAGCGAGACGTAAGCAAAAAGTTGGAGCGACTGGAGCGGCGCACACAGAAAGCCATTGCGGAACTTATACGCGATAGGCTGAAAATGAACCAGTTCGAGGACATCAGCCAGGCTGTAAATGTGGCCACGGCGCAAGTGCAAGCAGAAAAAAATACGGATGAAGATTTTTGAATTGATCAAGATAATTATGTTTAATTAAAGCAAGGCTAAAAACAATTAACTAACAATCATCATGTTTATACAATACTTAAAATTAACTAATTTAATATAAGTTGGCCTATTTGCGATTAGCTCTGCGGCTAGAGTTTTCTTTACCGGCTAAATGTTCCTTGAGCGTGAGGATTTCTAAAGGATATATTATACATGTATTGATAAATAATTTTGGTAAATTTGTATGGTAATAATGCATCTTACGATTCGTGTACTTCTCCTCAAGGGCCTGGGCAAAGTGTCGCATGGATTGCAGCTGCTGTGGAATTTCCTCGCGCAGCTGCTGTATAGTTAAGTGTGTCTGCCTCAACTCCTCTTCACGCATACTCAACAGCTTCTCCTTCTCATTGATTGCCTTTTCCTGTTGTAGCGCCACCTCGGTGCGCCATGAAATTGTCTTCTTCTGGCTGAGGAGCTCTTGCGACTGCTTGAGGATGATTTGATTCGCTTTAGCTATTTCATCGGAAGCCATTTCCAGCGCTTGACGCTTTGTATGCAAAATCTTCTTCTCAGCCTCCAGCTCAGCCGCAATATTAGCCTGTTCATGACATGCAATGAGTACAGATTTATATCAGAATAGATGTTATGTACCTTCTCCTTGTTTCCCTTTTGTATGTGTTCCTGTAGCTCGAGTGTGTGCTGTTTTATGTCTTCTATTTTGTATTCTAACTTCCGCTCTTGCTTCTTAGCTCCTGCTAATTCGGTATGAAGTTTTTCGTGTTGCTCTTTCAACGTGCAAATACGCGATTTACAGCAGGTGAGCTCCTCGTTTAAGCTCTGATTGCGCTTCTCGACTTGCTCTAGCATTGTCTTCAGTTCTCCCTTCTCTAACGTCCCTCGTTCCAACTGAGTCTGCAGTCCAGCTATCGAACGTCGGCTGCGTTCCAAATCATTGTTGCGCTGCTCGTTCAGCTTCTCCAGTTTGAGCTGCATTTCTTTCAGCTCCGCGGAATGCTTTTCACTCAGTTGACGTGTATTCTCCGCTAAAGCCTCACGCAGTTTGATGTTATCGGAGTTTAGCTGATCTATATGGGCATTCTGTGCATTTAATTCCATTTGTAGTTGCTGCGTGTTTTGCTCCACCAAAAAGAGCTTCTTATGCGTAGCATCTAGCGTTGCATTAATGTAAAAGAGTACCGTGTTCAGCGGAGCAGAACGGCAGGGCAAACACAAATGAATAAGATTCTTGAAAGCGCGAATTTCTACGAACTGGAGAAGGTAGTCATGAGTCTGTTGATCGGCGATAGTTTCTCTAGCGGATAGGCACAGCTCTAGTTTGCCGGCCTGACAGTCTTGCAGCATGCGCACTACGTTTTCCATAAATCCAGCGAATGTGACATTTAACGACTGATCCTGTTTTAGTTCTTGAAAGGATGCGCTGTCCACAGTGGTGATGTACATGCGTCGCTGGTCGCATTTCTCGGCCAAACGTAATTGCTGCAAGTGCAAGTACATTAACAGAATGCATATTTACAATTAGAGTTCGTTTGCTGTAGGCGTGGCTTACGATTAACTCTTTGAAATCCACTTTTTCGGCGTACAGTAAACAAGCTTTTTTGGCGCGCATTAAATCCCTGTCGGCACAAAAGGTAACCAGCATTTCCACGCTAGGCATTATGTGTACGACGTTCTTTTTGTTGTCCATATTGGCAAAATATGTTTCTTCATTACTTGGCGCCCACATTCTTAAAAAAAATAATTCTCAAAAAAAAGAGTAAACAAATAAAACTGTATTCGATTAATGGCTATCGATATTTTGATATTAACTGAGTTTGTTTTCATCGCATCAGCATTAATCGTTTTAATCGCTCACACGGTATAAGAAATAAAAGCATAAAATAGAGTACACGCGAAAAAAAACACGCAGATAAGTAGCATCCTATATGGCTGTAAGTACTATAAATATGATGTTACCAAGTTATTGACCAATACTTACTAAGTTTCTTTGCCAACTCTGTTCAGACCGCGAAAGTCTTTGTGGGCAGCCTGCCGCCAGGCTGCAAGCCCGAGGAGCTGCGACATTTGTTCACAAATTATGGCGTGGTAGTTGAGTGCGATATTATGAACCGTTGTGGATTTGTGCACTTAGAGACCATTGAAATGGCCGAAGCAGCCATAGCAGCTCTCAACGGCGTTGAATTCAAAGGGCAGGCCATAGTTGTCGAGCCGGGCAGACCCAAAGACCGACGTGGTGGCGGTGCTGGAGGTGGTGGTGGTGGTGGTGGAGCAGGCAGCGGTGCCGGCAATCGCAGACCGATGCAAGGTAAAGCGAGTCATACACATTAACCGATAACACTGATTGAAATGTACTTCCAGGACGTGGAGGTAGCACTTTCAATCGTGGCAGCCATACGGCTGGCAATAATTTTCGATCATCTGGTGGTAATCGGTCATCCAGTTCAAATGGTAGTCAATTCGGACCAATACGAAATGAGGGGCAGTTTAGACAGCAGCGCAATGCACCCTATAGCAAGGGCTTGCCACAGCATAACCAAAATTTTGATGGCCCAACGCAGCCATTTAAAAACAAATTTAGCCAAGGCATGACTCACAATGATTACTATGCAAATAGTTCCGTTGGGGCTGGAGCTGGTGGAAGTCACAGGAGTGGTGGATCATCAAGTCATAATATTGGACAAGATCGTCGGGGCTTTGCACTGCCCGCTGTCGACCATCATCATCATCATCCACAGCAGCAGCAGCAGCATCATCATCATCATAATCATCAAGTCCCTTTTGCCTCAAAGCAAAGTCGCTTTGGCAACAGTCCGATGGTGCCCAGTGGAGGCAATGCCGAAGCTGGTGGCATGTATCAGCGCAACCGTAACAATTCTGTCATGAACAGGTGGGTGGCATGATGCCTACACACTGGTTTAATTAAACTAATTTTTGTAATTATTGCAGTGGCAGCACGCAAGGCGGCGGTCGCGTTGGATTCAATGCAAATCGTGGCGGTTTCGGTGGCCGTGGTAGTGGCTTCAATGGTCGGCGCGGCGGTGCCAGCAGTAGCAGTAGTGGCAGCAGCAGCATGTCACAACATTTTAACAAACACGGACCAGCAAACAACAGTCACCATAGCCACAATCGCAATGCAGCGAATGCATATCATTCAGATTTTCCGCCCTTGGGTGTGCCAGGCAATCGAAATCGGTATGCAATAATATATTAGAAATATCGATACATATATCGCGATAACATTTATTACCTTACGCAGTTTTAATGGACCAAATATGAGCGGCAATAGAAGATTCTGAAGTTAAAATCATTCTCCCCCTGTATGTGACTTTTAAACAATGACCCCATGTAATCTAAGTGGACGCTAACATAATAGCCGAATTTTGTTTTCCAATAACTACGCTCGTGCAACATCTTAAGTTAAGACATAAAGTGTGAAAGAAGATATTTTTTATTTTAATAACAAGAACGCGTTATCCGTAAGACCGAACCAATCAATCAGTATATTTGTTAATTGTAATCATTAAGTGTGCAAAACAATATTTAATTATTTTAGCAATGTGCAAATAGTGTGACATGTTCTTCCCAAATGGCCGACGACTTACGATATTATCAATACAAATATCAAACTATAAAAACAGTTTTCAATAAATATAAAATATTACTTGGTTTTCATTTTATATTGTAAGCCAAAGAACAGTTTACAGTAATCGAAACTTCTGCTAAAATTGCTTGCTCAAAACTTTTGAATTCGCCAAATGAGTTTGCTTTCATTTTAAAATATTAACTGCCGGAAAAATACTAGATTATATGTTTTGTAATATTTCGGTCACTCTGTTCACAAATCATCGATAGCTCTGCTCAAAATAATCGTTCAAATCATCGGGAATCGGGCAAAAATGGAAATTGCTTAAAACACATTCACATTCGCTTTCGCATTCGCATTTAGTTGAACTGATGATAAGCAACGTGTTTGTGTCCAAAGTAAGCAATTGGACGGATAACGCAGCATAACAAAGTATTTTTATCTAACTAACATTTTGTTGCTCAGCGCGTCAGCACAGACTAACAAGCCTGCACATACCTACGCACACATGCAAGCAGTGTTGATGATGAGGAAAGACTCATGTTATTGTCTCAAGGCATTCGTCTTATTGGTAATTTCCATATGGTGTTTGGAGGTCGGCAGTACAGATGTACAAACCAGCTTACCTGGCCAACTAAAGTTTGCACATGTGGTAAGTCGATGGAAGTTTTTTGTGCCATATGTTTTTAATAAAATGTATCACAATGCAGATTTACAGACATGGCGACCGAATGCCTGTTGACCCGTATCCCACAGATCCATGGAACGATAGGAAATACTGGCCTACAGGCTGGGGGCAGTTGACTAATGTGAGTAGTTAAACGGCTGTGATTTATTTATTGAAAACTGTTTTTCTTTTCGTCTGATAGCGCGGAAAGCTGCAACATTATGAGTTAGGCAAATGGCTGAGGAAAAGGTATAGCTCATTGCTGGATACGAAGTACGACAACGAACAGATTTATGTGCAGTCCACAGATGTGGAACGAACACTAATGAGTGCGGAGTCTAATTTAGCTGGCTTATACGAACCCGTTGGCGACGATGTCTGGAATGCCCAAATCAAATGGCAACCCATTCCTGTGCATACAGTGCCCGAGAAGGAGGATGCGGTAAAGCTTAGCCAATACTATAATGAAATACTATTATATTTAATGTATTATAATATGCCTTTACAGATTGTAGCTGCCAAGGCGCCATGTCCAGCTTTTGAGTACTATTTGGAAAATTTTATGAATTCTGAAAAGTATCGATCTCTCTTGGCGCGCTACAAAAATTTGTTTGACTATTTGTCGAATAATAGCGGTCGGGCTGTTCAAACATTTATAGATGCACAATATCTTAACAATACCCTGTTCATTGAGACATTGTACAATAGGACTTTGCCGGTGTGGGCGCAAAAGGTTTATGGTAGTCCCGACCTCACTTTTATCTCGAATTTCGCCTTCTCGATCAATACGCATACACGAAAGCTGGCGCGCCTTAAAACCGGACCTCTGCTTAAGGATGTACTTAATCGTTTCGAGATCAAGCATAAGAAACAATTGAAACCGGATCGGAATGTGTTCATATATAGTGCACATGATACGACAGTTGCCAACTTGTTGAATACCCTCAAACTATTCCAGGTATGCGTAGATACAACTATATTCATATACAATAAGTTCTTGTACACTCGGTTCGAAGTGCAGGATGTATACTAGTCGAGCGTACTTCCATTCTTATGCGTTCTTACTAATCTATCCATTTTCATAACAGTTTCACAGTCCTCCCTACACGGCATGCATTTTGTTGGAACTGCGCGTGGATGACAAGGATACTCCATTCGTTTCGGTTTTCTATAAGAACACAACAGCAGAACCGTTGCCGATGAATATTCCCGGTTGTGGCATATCTTGTCCTTTGGCAAAAATGTTTGAATTATATGAAGAAGTTTTGCCCGAGAATTGGGTTGATGAATGCAAACGATCGACTCTGACTATGACGTATGAGGAGGCTAATCTCGGCGCTGCAACAGGCAAGTTTTCTGAACAAAGATATCCTACATTCGATACTCCAGATAATCCCGTTCATATATTTCAATATTAATTCATAATAATAAATTCAGCTTATTTTTTTCCTATCCTTCTATTTTTTTTGTTTCCTCGTTTTCCATTTTATTTCCCATTATTAATTTTATATCCCAGTATATGTTTTAATTTTCTTTTATCACTATTCTGCTATTGCTCAGTTACTTATTTTAGTTTATATTCCCATTATTTTTTTTATTTCCCAATATTCTTTTGCCAACTCTTAATTTTATTTCTCAATTAAATTTACTTTTTGAAAAATGCAATAATTCCTATTATAGTTCCCGGTTATTTCTCGTTAATTCTTTCAAATATAATAAGTATTTTTGTTTATTTATGCAGGCATTCTTATAGGAATCATTGCTATCCTACTCCTCGCCAGCTACGGACTGATGATATATTACCGTCGCAGAGACTACAAGATGCACAATTCATATGCCCAAATGGCGTAGATGAGATCTTCGAAAAAAGACTTTGTTAAAGCACAGGATTAAGATCGAGTATTGCTCAGAGATAGGAATACAAACAAAATTGATTTGAGCACTTTTGATTTGAACTCACTAATGAATATATAGTTCTCGTATATTTAAACATGAGTACGATACCGTAATCAATCGATAATTACGATATTAGTTCTTAGCAACAATTGAAAATATAAATTGTTGAAACATTTAGTTTATAAGCTCATATGATCTTGTTGTTTCTTTTGTTAAACGATGAAAAACAAAGACTGTGAATAGTTACCCTGAAGTTTCTTACACATTTACATGTGAACTTATTATATATATCATATACTATACAAATATGTATTTGCATTTACGAGTATAGTCATTTTTTGAAATCTTGTTGTACAAAATATATTTTGTGAACTGTAATAAAGCGGGCACAACAAAAATAAAATGTAACTTTGAAATCGCAAAATCATTCATGTTTAGTTTATATACCTCATATGTGTGCCTGCTAAAAACTTATTGCATAGCTAAGCCTGTTACTAATCGACTCGGTAAAGTCTAATCGCTGCAGAACTTGGTACCCTTCACTAAACTATTTAGCATGAGCATGGCAGATCCGCAATGCTTGCTGTGCTTATTTGTGCATACGTTCGAGAGAGCACTGAGCGTAAATAAAACAATGGCACATTGAGGAAGCTTTTAAGAGCAGCTGCCATCTTGCTCTTTCGCACTAGACCAGAAGCCGTTGCTCTCTGAGAGCGCAAGAGAGTAAGAGAGTAAGTTCCAAATGAGTAAATGTCCCATCTATGTAAATTTATGTATGTGTTTGAGTTGTATGGATTGGGATTGGAAGACATCTCAATAGAGGATATCTAGTTTGATAGATAGTTATAAATGACGACACTTAACTATATTATACTATGATTTGTTTATTTCGCTTATATTTTTTGACTTAATTATGTTAAGATACGCATACGGTTAGGGAATGAACTATAGTCTATATACAACATACATAAGCTGACGACGAATGACGATTGTGTAGAACCTGTGTTGGCCAAGCTCTGCAGCTGACTGAGTGCTTGGTTTGGAATGTACCTAGCCACGTCTATCTGTAGGCCTTGTCGTCCGAGTAGATGATGTAGGGCTGATGCTGATGCTGGTGATGCGTCAAGCTCTCAGCACCATCGGCGCTGGCAGCACCACCCCCAGCGCCCGCACCACTGAAGTACGACATGCGTGACATGGTGGAGTAGGCGGCCGCAGCTGCTGCCTGTTGCGCTGCCAGCTGCTGCGCCTGCTGTTGCACCTGCTGCTGCTGCTGTTGCTGCTGACGCTGGCTGAGATTTTGCGTTGATTGATGATGTATGGAGGCCGCCTTGTGCGGCAGCGTGGCATAGTTCGCCTGATATGGGGGCACAGCATACAATGCAGCACCTGCTCCATTCTTATAGCTGTAGGCAGCATTGTGGGCGCCCAGCTGCTGCTGCTGCATGGCCGGCAGGCCCATCATGGCGGCGCTCTGCTGATACTCGGCATTGCTCATGCGCAGCCTGATGATGCAGATGATGATAATGAGTATGGCAATGAAGGCGACCACGCCGCCAACAATGCCAATGATGAGTGTGTCATCGTTGCTGATGATCGGCGCTTGGGCCTTCATTAGCGGCGCCTTTGTCTTGATCTTCATGATGGTGGGCTGTGTGGGCTCCATGCTCCAGATGATGAGTGGCTCCTCTGTGTGGGCGCTGCTGCTGGTGCGTGTCACCAGCTGACTGGAGGCGGAGCTTTTTTGCAGCTGCGGCATCGAAGGACGCGCCGATGTGGAGGTCATGCGTCGCGGGTCGCAGGTGAGCTCATCATCGCCCACCTCGGTGAGCTTGCGACCAGCCAGGTAGCTCGGCTGGCTGCACAACAGCTCCGACATGCTCGAGCTGGGCAGCCAGCGTCGCAGAGCACGTGCATCACAATTGCAGTTGATGGGATTGCTGGCCAAGCCCTGCAGCTGCAGACTGGCTCGACGATCGTCCAAGGCATTCAGGAATTGCGGCACAAGTGACGCAATCTTCGAGCCCTCCACATTGAGGGTCAGGTGCGAGGAGCGCGGCACTGGGAACAGTAATGCGGGAGGCAATGCACTCAGCGAGGTATTCTGCAGCTTGATGGTCAAGTCGTTGCTCTTCAGCCCAGCCAAAGTGCCAGATGAGATGGACTTCAGGCGCTCGCCCCGTATGCCAATGGAGCTGAGTCTTGGATGCTTCAATGGCTGTATTTGCTCGCTGCCTATGGTCGCATCCTTGACCTCAATGTCAAGCTTCTCCAGGCCAGGCAACAGCTCCATAATGCCCTGAACATCCAGATAACCCAACAGGGGTAGCTCGTAAGCCTCCAAGTTTTCCAAATTGTTCAAAGGCTTAAAGGCGTTCTTCTCGATGCGATTGCAGAGTGGCAAATGATTGAGCTTCAGGCTGCGGAGCATCTCCAGGTGAGCGAAGTTGGAGTGCGAGATGAGCTCCAAGCTATTGTTGGACACATCCAGTTCCTGCAGCACCTGCAGCTGTGGCCACGCCAGCGATAGATCATTGAGGGACTCGAGCTTATTGTTGGATAGATCCAGAGTTTCCAGCAGTGTAACCCGCTGGAAGACCTCCGCCTTAACGTTACGCAACTTGTTGTTCGAGAGATTCAAATACTGTAGGAAGGGCGTCTCGAGCAGCTGCAGCTCCTCAATGCCTGTGCCGGCTAGATTCAATTCCCTCACAGTTTTCGGTTCATGGAGCACATTGTGCACCGCCTGCATGGTAAGTGGATTGTAGGACAGATCTATGCGTTTGATGTTCACCATAATGCTATCATCTCGTGGCAGCTCCCTAATGCGATTGTGGCTCAGATCCACCGAGGAGACGAAGAAGTAGCGCAGCTGCAAGGCCTTGAGTGGAGCGTACTCAAAGCGATTCCTGGCCAGATTTATGTTCTCCAACATGTGCAGCTTGGTGTGCTCAAAGACATTGTCCGACAGCTCAGCTAGCTGATTGTCCTCCAGATTCAACTGCTCCAGGCGCACGAGACCCTCAAAGGTGCGTTCACCAATGCGATCGAGATTGTTGTGCGACAGATCGAGGATTTGTAGCTGGGTGGAGTTGTGGAAGGCCATCTCGCTGACCATGTCCAGTTGGTTGTGGGCCAGGAGCAGAACACGCAGACGTGGCAAACGGGCAAAGTCCAGCTCCTCAACCGTCTTCAATTGATTGTGCGACAGATCAATGGACTCCAAGTACTGCAATGAGGCAATCAGCTCGGCGGGGAAGAAGGAGAACTTGTTGTGTGCCGCCTTGATCTCGCGCAGACGTGGATGTATGCGAAACGAGGAGGGGAAGAGATAACTGAGCTGGTTTCGTGAGATGTCCAACTCCTCAATGCCAGTGCCCGTATTGAAGAATTCGCCCTTGAATGCCGACAACTGATTGCCATGCAAATCCAAGCGCTTCAATTGCATCACATTGACAAAGGCGCCGGCGCGTATCGAATTGATCTGATTGTTGGACAAGTCAATGGAGCTAATGTTCCATAGATTGACAAAGCTGCCGTCCTGCAGCTCTTGCAGCTGATTGCCAGCCAAGTGAATGTGCTTCAGGTCCTGCAGACCACCGAGCAGATCGCCGCTGAACTGCCGGATGCTGCACTGACTCAGATCAATGATCTGCAGTCGAGCGAGCGGCCGGAAGAGCGCCGGCATCAAAGGCGTCAAATGATTTCCACTCAAATTCAACGACTGCAGGTTCTCCAAATCCTCAAAGATATTCAAGCTCAACTCCGTTAAGGTGTTGCTGCTTAGGTCCAGGCTGCGCAGCTCGGGCAGTGTAAGCGGCATATTGCCCAAGCCACTGAGCTTATTCTGTCCCAGCTTCAGCTGCATCAAGGTGCCCTCCAGGCCCGCAAAGGTATCCGCATTGATCAAGACCAACGAATTGCCCGACAGATCGAGTGTGTGCAGACTGCTGAACATTTGGAAGCTGCCTGGTGGCAGCTCTCGTATAACATTGCGAGATAGCGACAATGTGGTAATATCTGCCGCTTGGACAGAGCCGAGAATTTCTGACGAAAGTGCTGCCACGCGATTGAAATCCATCTGCAGTGAGGTGAGCTGTGGCAGGCGACCCAAAGCGCTGCCCGGCACTAGCAAAATATTATTATCCTTGATGATCAACGTTTGCAGACTCTCCAGACCCTCCAGTGCATCGTCCTCAATCTGCAAGGAAGGAGATTCTCACTCTCTCTTTCTCTCTGGCTATATATTGTGTATACGCACCGTTCGCAGCGAATTGAGACTGAGATCCAGGTACTTGAGTGCGCTCTGATCGCGGAATGTGCCAGGCGATATGCTCGTGATGCTATTGCGACTCAGATCTAGGCTCTCCAGAGACTTGACCACTTGCATGTGCGTGTAGTCCAGTTGCTAAGGAAGACATAAGAAAACAAGAGTGTTATCGGCTGCAATACTTTATGGCTAGAGACGTATGTTACCGGCTTTCTAATACGCTGTTTTAATGTATAGATAGAAAGGCAGTCAGCTATTTAGCTTGGCTCTATATCTGTAAGGGTAAGTCTAGAAAGAGTGTGTGAATCACTTTCCAAAGCTCTTTTTCAGCAACTATAAACGACTATCTAATACCTTGTTCGCAGTTAAAACTTGAAGAAAACTTAGCTACTTTCGTAGTTGAACTGCCAATGATATGAACTGATGGACTGCACAATGCTCTATTTGCATTTAAGACTGGTCTCTCACTATTGGAGATGCTTCTCTCACCTTAAACGTGTTTCAAAACAATCTCAATTTATATATCATATTATAACCAATATACCCTGCTTGACTCCCTCGAACAGGGCATACAAGTTGACTTGCAACTCACCTGCAGCATATTAGAGGATAGATTCAAAGCTTTGAGTCCTGTGATGGCAGCCAGTGCCACCGTGGGAAATTGAGCAAAGAAGTTCTCGGACAGATCGAGCTTCTGCAAAGAGTGAAGCTGTTCGAAGACGTCGCTGTTGAGATTGGTTAGACGATTGCCAGCCAGCTTGATTTCCCTTATCTTGTGTAGTCCGTGGAAGGCCTGGCTGTCAATGCTGCGCAAGATATTATAGCGCAGATCGATGATCTCCAATTGAGCCTGCGCGTTGAAGGAGTCCCGATAGAGAGTAGCTACCAAATGCAAAGGAGTAAGTCCAGTTGTAGTCGATTTCTGATTTGAAGAGCAACTCACCTATGTGATTCTGACGCAAAGACAGATGCTTCAGAGCGCTGGGTCCGTTCAGCGAGTTGACTGGCACTGCGGTCAAGCTATTGCGGTCCATGAAGAACTCCTTGAGGTCCATGCAACCCTTGAGCACACCCTCCTCGATCAGTTTGATCTTGTTGCCCGAGAGGTCCAAGAGGCGCAGATTCTTCAGGGCGTGCAGCTCAGCCGTCGAGAATATGGGATTCAGATTGTCGCCCAGCAAATTGTTGGCCAGGCGCAGTTCGTTCAGCGAATCCTTCAGCCCGTCGAATGCTTTCTCTGGTATGCGACGTATCAGATTGTTGGACAGATCCAGCTCCTCGATGGGCAGCTTTAGTTGACCAAATGTCTGCAGCAAAGTGCGGCTGGTTCAATGAACTCACTCAGGTAAGTAAACGACAAAGTGTACGCACCTGTGCGGGCATCGTTTGCTGGCCGCTATGACGTTGCGTATACGCCACGATGGGCGCTCCATAAGGCAGCTGCGGCGCATCGCTGTGAAAGACGACTCGATCGCAGTCCATGGCCACGGCGCCCAGTTGACCAGTTGCCGCAAAAGGCACCACATTGCACCTGTAATTGTCGTCAATCACAATCAATCGCCATGATTGAGCACAATCGAATCAGCGTCAGCATCAGCATTACAAATTACTGATATTAAAATAATACGCGACAAGCGGAAATCCGCTTTGTCTATCTACCTATTTATCTATCTGCTTAGCTGTCGTCCGTCTGTCTGTCCACCTGATTGTGTTTTTTTATTTCACTCACCTGCATGGCAAGCGCAATGCGGGACTGAGCTCCGGACATGGTCGCCAGGCCTGACTGCCTTGGGCCAAGCAGCACAGCAAACCAAATAAAAACGTCAACTGCATTTTCCACGTTTCCATTTTCATTTTCATTTTCGCTGAAATTAAATATTTTTCATTTAGTCACCAATTGGCAATGCTTTAAAAAGTCAACTTAAGCTTGTTTGAAATTATGTTTATTATATTTTATTTTATTTATTTTTAATATTTGTATTTATTTTATATATTTTATTTTATTTTATTTTATTTATATGTATTATAATCTTATACATTTATTAGAGGATATATTCTATGTATAAGTTCTTAACTTTTCCAGTCAAACTTTCCAGCTAGTTGAGCAATTAAAGATCCAATATACTCTCCTATCTTTTTTTGAGCGAGTATCAATAGCTCTACTTCTTAACTGATCTTAAATTATTATACTCTAGCTGCATTTCTGTAAATAAAGCTTGATATTCGACGAAGCCAGTATATTCTCTTTGCAACTGTTAAAGTAGTATAAATAGGAAAAAACCTTTAGATATATATCTAGTCCTTGTTACATAGTCGATTCTTAGCTCTGCTTGCTATAGGCCGGCAAACAGATAGTTAAAGAAACCCAATAAGCTTTCATTTCATATATTGAGCGAGTATAAAGTGCTCTAAAACTATCTAAGATACATAAAATATGCGTATTCACAAATATGGTAAAGATGGATAATCGGCAAATCGATAAAGCCAATACACTCTCTTTACATATATTAAGCGTGTATGCCAAAGGTCATAAAACTCTATAATATATATACGTCTATGCATAGATATAGTAAATTCTCTGACAAAGAATTGTATTTCAGAAAGTCAATACACTAAGTATAATGCTTATAATATAGAGTAAATTTTTAGCTGTCTTCCTCTAAGGCGATTAATGGATATTTATCAAAAGCCAATATATTCTCTTTGCAATTATTGAGTGAGTATTTAATGCACTTCAGCTCTAGATGATATATGTATATCACATATATCAAATTGTTGTCTCCTCTTCTTCTTCATGCAGCTATTATTTCATTCATGTAGCTAGATAAACCGGAACTTAACAACAACCAATATACTCTCTAAATATGAATATATTGAGCGAGAGAAAAAACGCGCTAATATTGCTAATTGTGCATTCTTTTGTTTTGAAACCCATTCACAGTCACAGTCACAGTCACAGTCAAACAACAGCAACAACAGCGGCCCCGTTGTATTTGGTCATTTCGTGTTTTATCTTCGGACTTGGGACAGAACATTTAATTTGAATATCGTTGGAGACTTTTTGTTGTTGTCGAAAACCACATATTTGTGTGATTTGCCTTAACAAAGTCAAGTTTCTTGTTCTCTTGCTGTTTGACACTCTCGCCAGGTTCTCCACTATAATCAATAAAGCTAACAGCAAAGCAAAGGTCTCAGCTACCTACACAGTGAAATCAAGAATGTGGCAGTTGGTAAATGAATATACAGAAAAGATCTACTAATCATTTTGACTAATACCAAATACATTCCAACACAAATACTCTATCGAAACGTGATCTCAATTGAAAAAAAGGAATTTTCTAGATATTATTAGACATAAATTATACATTTTTATGATCGTTGTAATTTAGATCTTGATAGACCTTAATTTTTGATAAGAATTTAAAAGCTGTACAATCATAATTATCATACAATGTTATCTAAAAACATATTCTTTTGTATTATTTCTAGCAAATGTATATTCTTGACCTTAAACTGACATGACTTTGTCAAAACTTGGAATTCCTGACTTTGTTTTAGTGCAGCTAATACCTCTATTTTGATTGTCCATTGTCTTAGCAAATGTACCCAGTATTTGTTAACTAAGTTAGTTTTTCTTTTTGCTAGCCTGCGCCTGTTCTGTTCTGTTCGACTCTGATTACTGTTATTTCCTCTTTTTAGTACACACAGCCAATGTACTCATATAGACATGCAGGCATACATACATACATATGACTATTTCACTTCTATATATGTGTGTATGTACGTATGTATGCAGCATATTCTTGATTATTTCTCTCGAGGCGTTTCTTGTACCGTTGGATTGCGCATCGACACCAAAAAAAAACGTTAAGCGTGAACATTTATGCATGTGTATGTGTCTATGTTTGTGCTTTGCTATTTGCTCTACGGTCCATAGTCATGCAAAACGTTATTTGGTCAGTTGTCGAAATTGTGGGCCAGAGATCTTTCGTAAATATGTTGTTTATGTATTTATGTATGTTTGTATGTCTGCTTGAGCATATGTAAATTTTTTATTGCCTATAAAACGTCGTCGCAGGTTGCATTTCAATAAATTTCCCAACATCTTTAGCGCAATGTGTGTGTCGGTGTGTGTGTGTGTTTTTTTATTTGCCCCTTTTACTCATTGAAATGCATAATGGGAATTGATTCGATACCAAAAACGGCTCCAAGACGCGACTCGAGCTGGCAGAGCGACAGCTTCAAGGTCTCGTTTAGCTACACGGTCCGGTCTCTGACTATGTCCACTTCTTGTTTTTACACACACACAAACATGCATGTACATGGCGATTAAAAACAGAAACTTTTGATGGGAAATATGTTAATCACAAAAACTGCGGTCTAAAGAAATAACAATTTTTTGTATGTTGTGTTTTGTAACCTGTTTCTTTTCTGATTTATATTTTTGGCTTACTTTTATTTTGGTTTGGGAAATTGCACCTCACCTTACTGCGATAGTATGTGTGTGTGTGAGCTGTGTTTTTGTTGCTGCTTGGGAAATTTGTCGAGTTGATTCTTTTGTTGTTTTTTTTTTCGCCGATTGCACCAAGCACCGTAATAAGCGGGCTTTGAGTTTTGTTGTCGTTGTTTTAACGCGACTTGTTTACATTCGTTTTTGTTTCATTTATAGACACACAAAAAGAAAGCGCAAAGCCACAAAGAATATTTTTCCCAGGGAAAAGCGCACACACTGTGGCTACAAAAATATTATGTATCTCTCTGTGTGTGTGCAAGTGCGGGAAAAATGCAGACAAACAAGTAAACTTTGCCAACTGTGGGGGAAACGGGAACAACAGAGCGCGAGCTGCTGCTGCCGCTGCTGCCGCTGCTGTTGGGGTAATAATTAAGCCGCGCACTGGTGCTGCACAACAACAAGTACACAACAACAACAACTACAACTACAGACTGCGTATGCGTAGAGGTTGCGACTTCGGCTACGGCTTCGGTTTCGACTTCGGCTTTGACGTTCTCGTCGTCGCGTCCCGTTTCGTTTCGTTTTTAGCGACGGCTGCGTCTTTCCGTTTTGTGCTCTGAACGTCTTGTGCTCTACTTGAGCTTCGCGCAGCAACTGGTGGTGGCTGGCCCTGGCTTGGCATGGCTGCTGGCTGCTGGTTACTCTAAAACAGGTTTCCTACACTGTATTGGTGCTAAAAAGTGTACTAAAAATGCTCATGATGATCAAAGATCTTTGGTTCTCTGCCTCTCTCTCACTCTTGCTATGTGCAGCTTCGTGAATGATTTTTGGGCTGGGTAAAAGTTTTCGCTTCGTCGTTCTTTGGCATGCCGCAGAAAGTTTGTATCTTTTGTGTTGGCCGCTGCCCTTGCCCATCTCTACCTGCTGCTCCGATCGCTGCCGATTGGCAAGTGCGCCAATTTACGCTAATGGGGTTAAGTCTTCAATAAAGCGCAGGTAAGTGACAAAAGAGACGGCGCTCACTTTCCATCTAGCTAAATTGTTTGCCAACTAATTATACACAGCAAGATAGCAATAACAATGGCACGCACGCGGAGCGGCTGTTAACAACAGGCGCATTTACAGTTGCAGGAGGCAGACCTCTGCCTGCCCCCCTCACTCCCACTCTGCCCGTGTACCTAGCTTTACTTGCACATATCTTGCAGGAGGGAGGGAGGTAGGAAGAGGCACGCCTTTTGCCTTGGCAGCAATATTTAATGTTTATTTTTTGTTTTTGTTGTTTCATGTTAAGGCATGCATGTTAACAGCTCGCTAAGATTTCTTTTACTTTCCATTTTCATGAGCAGACTCTCTCACACGCACACACACTCATATATTTCATATTAATAATATTATAATAACTGTGGAGTATGTCGTGTTTAGCCATATAAATCAAATCGTTCAACTGATGAATTATATCTAAAGCTGCAACAGTTGACTGGCTTTTGCTTTATGCTCAGCGGCTCCCACAATCTGCGTCAGCAAATTTGCTAACAGCTCTGTTACCACGCCCCGCGGTCCGCCACCTGCCTACGGCTCCCCTTCAGACACGCCACATCCATTTGATATGCTCTTTAATTTGCATATATTTTGCGAATTGGTCAAGACCAGACTTGCGTCCAAAGGTGTATAACCCTATTAGGCTAGCCAACCACTCGAGGGGAATAAACTGAATCAAGTTAAGCAAACATATGGCCCAAATGCATCCAACCGAAAGCCAATCAATCAATCCAAAATGTACTTAATATACTTAAAGTTTTGAAGTGAGAAAATGCTCGACTTTTGCTATCTAATTTCTCTCCTTGACAAAGATTCTCACTTTGATTGATTAAAGACTGACAACTAGCAGATACCCTGTAATGAGCGCGGTAATTAATTGATAGATAATTGAATGGGTGTACGGATAAGTAGAGATGACATATGGATAGACAAGGATAAGTTGGTTAAAGGGATATGCGGATAAGCAAACAGCGACAGACAGAAATATAATTGGATAGAGAACATACACACTTGAGGATAAGCAGATGAAAAGATGAATGTGGGCAGTTGAATGGATACATACGTAAATAGAAAGATGAATGGATAAACGGACAAACAGACAATCAGATGAATGAATATACGGATAGACGAATGAAGGGATATATAGAGGATAAGCGGATAAGCGAGTAGGATAAACCTGTTTAATTTTTAGGAACACAGAGAAATCGTTATAGAAATGAATAGGTAGCTGGATAAAAGTTTTATTACTTCAGAATGCAGTAAATTGTTGATATATATATATAAATATATATATATATATATATATATATATATATATATATATATATATATATATAATGTAAAGATATAG